TTAGTTTTTCTTCAATCCAATATTCTCATTTAGTTTTTCTTCAATCCAATATTTTCATTTAGTTTTTCTTCAATCCAATATTTTCATTTAGTTTTTCTTCAATCCAATATTCTCATTTAGTTTTTCTTCAATCCAATATTCTCATTTAGTTTTTCTTCAATCCAATATTCTCATTTAGTTTTTCTTCAATCCAATATTTTCATTTAGTTTTTCTTCAATCCAATATTTTCATTTAGTTTTTCTTCAATCCAATATTCTCATTTAGTTTTTCTTCAATCCAATATTCTCATTTAGTTTTTCTTCAATCCAATATTTTCATTTAGTTTTTCTTCAATCCAATATTCTCATTTAGTTTTTCTTCAATCCAATATTTTCATTTAGTTTTTCTTCAATCCAATATTCTCATTTAGTTTTTCTTCAATCCAATATTTTCATTTAGTTTTTCTTCAATCCAATATTCTCATTTAGTTTTTCTTCAATCCAATATTCTCATTTAGTTTTCTTCATGAACAAAAGACGAAGCCTCAAATCTAATTTAAGAAACTATTTATTTTTTCCAGCCTGTAAAGAAGAGCAAAGAAAAGAAAGCACTGGTGGAGGCTGAAGATATTCAACCAGAGCAGACTAATTGGTACACAGAAGTCTTAGAACTGAGGCAGAAAGCTGATGAATACAGAAAACGTGGACAAGGCTCCCATTTCTCACGAGCTCATTTAGCTCAATTACTGGCCAGACAGACTGAATTGTGGGATTGTGAAACATGTAGTACAACTGAAGCCAGTACCATCTCAGCATTGTCATTGGAAACAGGGTCATCACCTGCTGGTCTGGCTGAAAGACCACCTCAAAGACCACCACGGCTAGAGTAAGTTGTTCTCAAGATTTATGTTGTTTGGGAAAATACATCTCATGATTTCATTCAGTCTGATATAGGCATCTTGATGTGTGACATGTTGATGTGTGACATGTTGGAGGATACTATAAATTTAGGTGTTGTTCCTTGTGCATGCATATTGGAAATTGGTTTTAGTTAAAATTTGTCTCATAGCTTACCGTATATTTCCGAATATAATGCGCACCTGTGTATAATGCGCGGCCCTTCCTTTTCCCATTAAAATCAGGAAAAATCCATTTACCCGTGTATAATGAGCACCCCTTGTTTACGGTACCTAGCTTTTCTACATTTTTTTTGTATCCTGGCTAAAATTTCCCTTTTTACACACTGCATGGTGTTTCCGGTCTCGAATAGTCCAATCAGTCCAATCAAACTTTATTTCATATTTTTATTGTGTTTGAGGTTGTTTTCTGTGAAAAGCACCAAATGATAATAGTTTATATTTTGTGTTTCCAACATCTTTTGCAATCAGAATTATTATAAACTTGCTTCTTTCAGGTTGAATGAAAAGAATTTAGAAAGAAAGAGTAGAATTCAGGACAGAAAATTGAAGAAATTTAGTGATCTTGATTCTACTAAAGCCACAATAGCTGAAACTCCAGCCCCTTCTGTAAATGGTGGAAATGAGCGCCGTACATATAAACCTAGATATACTCAGGATTCTAGAGGTCGAACACGTCAAGTTAAAACAGCATGGCAGTATGATGAACCTGAAGAAATTTATAATGGAGATAGGTAGGTCTGGTTATTAGAAACAAGAAATATCCGTGGATTTCGTTTTTTTGAGGATGAGCTGTAGCACAGTCAGTTAGAGTGTTGCATTGACATTGTATATTTTTCTTTTGAAAGTCTGATGGCCTTAACCTTAGCCTTAGTGTAAATGAAATAAAACATCATATACCCTGATCAAGTAATAAAATTAAAAGCGTTTGGGGTTGAAAGGGAAAAATAATTCATTTTTCACAGTTGAAAATAGGTATTGATAGAAGGATCCTCGTAAACTTAAGTTGTTATCCTTTTCAAAATGGTTGTTTATTTTCTTTGGGTCTTGGATTCTGAAGATATTTTTTTCACCTGCTGGTCTCTGGCTAGTCCAATAGGGTGCTGAAGAGCAGGCTGTAAAACTCTTTTTAATAAAATTCTGTAAATTGTAGTGCTGAAGTCGATGAAGAAGTTGAAACACCTGTTGATGAAGACTACAGTAATAATAACTATCGTAGAGGGGGGAGACTACCAACTCCACACTTACAGAAACAAGATCGTCCAGTCTCTCGCCATCATTTTGATTTAACAACACCATCAGTAGGGGGCGCTCTATTATCTTCGCCACCTAGTGTCAGAAGTCTACCTGCTAAAACTAGGCTATCTCGAACCCAACCAATTCCTCCTTATGATCAAGGTAGACAACTCATATTGGAAAGTTCCTTCATAAATATCTCAAACTAGGAATTTTACTCACTATTTCTATATATATCTGTTCAATACCACAGAATATCTTAAAATGACGGTTTAAAATGGATTTGAAGACTCAAATTTCGATGGTGAGCTGTGAACACTATTAGTGATTGGCTTGATTTAAAAATTACATTTCTAAAACTAAAATTTGATTGGTCAAAAATAGTGACGCACTGGTCTCTTTAATATCAATGTGAAGTTTAAACACATTGCAATAAATTTAATTCCAGTTTCCCATTTTGTATCAGAGCTAGGTTTTAAGGAAATATTTCTTTTATTTTATGTATCTATCTTTGTAGATTTAAATGAAGATGACGAAGAAGAAGCAAGAATGATTGGAAAGGTAGGCCTGTAGTTTCATAAACAAAATAACAGACCATAATGCATCACTCTAACAATTGCAGAAAACTGAAAAAGTCTCTTTGAATTGATTTAGTGGAAATGGCATGCTTCATGATTAACTTTAGGAAAAAGTGCAAGTATAAGCCACAAATGACTTTCACCCTTGTAAATATGTCTGAGAAACTTATAGAGAGGTGTCTCTCCGAAGACCAGGGCTGTTGATTTATTTTTTTGTCAACCAGACTTTTTTCAACGACCTGTCTATAATATACCGGTAGCAGTAGTGAAGCCCACTTGAGGCTGGGGTCTGAATATTTAGCATTTAGAGGGCTTAATTTTCACTTAAAAATAAGACATTTTAGAACCCTAAGAGGGGGATGGGGGAGATTGGGGCATGCCCAAATGGCCTAAATAAGTGATGCAACTGTTCATAGTTCACATTAGTTCCGAAAATTGTAAAAAATCCATAGAAAATGATTCTTATTAATGTAAAATGTCATGTCATCAACAATCCTTTTTATACCTTGTAACTTGCAGACGTACAATTTGATTAAAAATACACCAAAACCAACGTATGGCCTTCCTTCGAGAGATACTCATTATTTATTGGACGAGGAGGCATCAACTGATAGACCAATGAGAACACAGTTTTTACAAACTGAAGTCTTTGATGATGGCGATACAGAAAGTACAGGTACGTTTATTTTGGATCAAAAATTCCAGGACAGCCTTATCTTTTTTGGATTTCAACTGTCAAAGATTCTTGAACGTGCATATACCAGAGAGTGGTTTATTGTCCCATCCATCGACTAGGGTAAAACGCACCTGTCTCATGATGGTCTAAACCCAGCTCGCGTTTCTATTTAGAGGATTTCCTCAATTTTTACGCCGGTGAATTTTTTTTTTTTTTTTTTTTTTAATTAAACCACTTAAAAATTTTGTTTAAGGGATAAAAAAATTTCTTTACAGAAAATGGCTTCCAAACGGGTCTTAAAATGCTAAAATCTCTTCAGCTTCATGATGTGATGCCTCTTGTACCCTGCATGGGAACCTATAGTGTCCTTGACCTTCAGCTGATATTTTCCGTTCCCTCTATTTTTAAAATTTCTTGCTGGGATCCTTGCTTTTATGTAATCTTCTCTCAACCTGCATCACTGACAGGGGGAAATTTCTGCAGATATATCTCTACGCCATGGTCAAACCATTAAGCTTTAGACTAGCAAGCAAGCTCAAACAAAAAAATAAAATAGTCCATTTTGTTTTGATGGAGAAATATAACTAGTTGATTTACTTTCAGTCACAGAAGGTGAGATCCAGACCACACAACCTAAAATTGTTGATGAACCTAGGTATAAAAGACAAAGCCCGTCAGCACCGGCCATGGATCCTATATATGAAAATTTTGGTCAGACCTACAATAAGGCTTATGTTCCTCCAATCTACTCATATAATGGTGAGAAAAGTTTGTTTGAATTTGATATTAAGAGTGGGATTTAGGTTAAAACAAGCTAAGGTTATTCAGTTGAATTGAAATGAACCAGATTCGAGCTTAGTCGGAGAGGAAATGCACTGCAGAAAATTTTGCCAGGACAGCAGCATAAGTTTTTCCTCTTTTGGATTTTCAATTGTTAAGGGATCTTTAACATGCACAGCCTGTGGCACATAGAGCCTCATCTCATCTGAAAGACATTTTTTGTCTCATGGCGTCACTAATCGCGAATTATGCCATTTGGAATGGTGCAAATGGATGCTCTCAATGACCCAAACCAACCAACACTTGCTAGTTACTTATTGTACTGACTAATTAATCTAATAATTTTCAGATGTAGAGAATTACTATCGAGATGATGATGACAATGAAAGTGTTCTATCGTTATCAGTCAGGTCTATAGCCTCGAGCTGTTCTTACGCCTCGGAAATACTGGAACGTTCCAAAGATAGGCGTGATAACTTCTGGAATAACAACACACGGGTACCAACTAAATAGATCTCTAATCATCTTCCACCAAAATCAGGTCCAGATCCCTCAACCAAATAGATGTGGGGTTTCAAGCTCAAATCTAAATCTGTAATTTATTTATATCCCCAAATTGTAATTTCTGTTGGGGATGTTGTTAATGAATCACATGTGTGTTTAACCTTCTTGAACACCTTCTGTCACTCTGCAACTTGGTTTCTCAACTCCTCTTTGATTGAATATTTCTTATACATTTTCACAATGTAAACAAATTTTCAAGGCAGCATGGAACTTATTCTATGAAATCTGAGTTCTGTTTATATTTTTATTTATAATCAATTTCCATCATGTATATAAAAATCATCAGGTCTATCAGAGAGTTGAAAAGGAATTGAATGTCAAGATAAAATTTTAAAATTTTATAATCAAAAGGAATATGGAGGTTTTTGTGAATTAAATCACTTTTGTTTGATTGTAAATCCGTCCAAGGATGTAAGGAGGGAAATAGTTATACATACTACATCACCCAGGTTTTCTGTTGTCTAGTTATTGACCATTTTGAGAATTTCAATTTAATGATCATTCTTAAATTCCTTTAATTTAAGGCTAGCGCAAACTTACGGATTTCTAGACGCCATGTTGGTCTGGCCAGCTCTACAACAAAATCAGTAGTGATCGGGAGATATTTGGAATGTTTGATGGAAAGACGTCCTGACGTGCCTTTCCCCAATAAATTGTCTTGACCTAGTTAAATGTCAACCAATAGAGTTACATGTATCACGTGCTCACTTCTGGTTTCTAGTGGTTTACAGTAGCTCTACGGGAAAGCAGTCACCCCAGTTATTTATAAATTGATAAGTGTGCGCCGACTTATTTGGCACTGTTGAAAAATATTATGACGTATATGTAAATGTGCACCAGCCTTTAAGGATATTATTTTATGGTAGCATATAACTGTGATAAGGCACAATGTATCTTTTAAGTTGTAATTCTGTTAGATGATCTTGGATATAGTCACTCATGTTTTTAGTTGTTTGTTTATGAATTTGTCTTTTAACCATTGAAATATTGTGTCCAAGGACCATATTGTTTGAGCACAAGCCAAGAAAGTTGACAATTTGTATCAGAGCTGAACAAATTCTACGCTTGCTTGCTTGCCAAGTCTTTTTAACAAATGATGAATCTGAATTCGTTTTACCGGTAGTTTGATTTGTGTTACATTTTGTTTTGTTTCTGAAAAATACAAAGATTTGTTAGTATCAATTGTGTTTTTGGAATATTCTATTGTTTTGTTTTTGCATTATCTTCTTTTTTTTTCTTAAAGAGAATGTAAAGAGGTTTTCAAATTTTTTTTATGTTTTTAAGGAATTCCGATAGCATCAATTTGCACCATTCCAATTTTTCAATCATATGTCTGTGATTCCTGCAATTTCACTAAAACTAAGTGTTTGATGAAGTCACTAATCCAAAAATATGTATAACATAAGGCCTTTGTGATTAGTGACGTCATCAAACACTTACTTTTAGAGGAATTGCAGGAACTAAAGACGTCTGATTGAAAATTGGAATGGTGCAAATTTTAACTATCAGTGTCCTGGATAAACACAAAAATATAGAAAACCTTTTTTACAATCCCTTTAATGCTTTTTTATTAACCAGATATACAGCTATATTGAAAAGGAAAACTATTTAAACTTAAATCAGAGGTGTTATTTCAGCTATGATTATTTCATGTATTTAGTGTCCATCTATTCCAGTATTGTTTAACACACCTAGAAATATATATTAAGATATGTAACTATTTATAGAATAATGGAGTGCTTAGTTTTGTTATTTGATACTTATTTTGTAAAATATATTAGAAAGAAACAAACAACATCTAGTTATTTCATTCCCATAGTAAACTGCATCTTCACAATGTTGAGTTATTACGAATAAGTCACCTTTCACCTTGCAAACAATCCAAGCAAATCGCTGCATTCCTAGAAGAAAGTCAAGGTATAAGATGAAGTTCGTAATAGCTTGACATTGTGAAGATGAGTGAACTAGTGATTATAGGGTTAACCAACTGTATGAGTTATTTTATAAATAACATTAAGTCTGTGTAATTCTGATCTCTTCCACAAATGCAAAGGGCAAGGCAAGACAATTCTGTCAATCGAAAATCTCGACCAAAGAATGGCCAAATCGGGAGTAAAAGTTGTATAGTAGTCGACTCCTCAAAGGAGAAGTACCTTCAGGTGTTTCAAATAGAGTAATAATGGTCTGTTTCACGCAGGAAATTGTTTGAAGTTTTGTTATATCACAGCATATTTTATTATGAATAATTACAATTTATAACATTAAAATCACCAGACCTTAAAAACTAAAGGCCAAATGATCTTTACCCTAAAATGTGACTTTAAAGGTGGCCTTTGTTGAGGTCTGCTTGTTTTTGGATTCATGGCATCACCCATCAGTAAGTTGGAAAGGGATGCAGAATGCAATCCATGTTCACTGAAAAAATAGGTGAAAACAGAATTCACAATGGCAGAGAAAGGAATAGCAAGTTAAATTTTTACATTTCAAATTCCAAATTGTTGACACCAAGAATTGAAACAACCTGAACAGAACAGAAATCATCAATCAAGTGCCACCAATGTGTCACTACCCCACTTCCTTGACTACCAGCAACACTGTGAATATATCACATTCAAAATTATACTTTTCTCCTCCATTTTGAATTGCTATTTTTTTGGCTTAAGTGGAATTCTAAATGTACAGTTGATTCCATGAATCCTGAACATATGCAGAATTCATCAATCAAGCAGCCCTTATTAGTTGCCATAAGCTTTCCACGATTCTTAATCACTTCAGTCATATTTCAACACACAAGAATATATTTGAATTCTAGCTATATCTACTGTGTTTAATCAAGTGAATTCGTGAGGAAGATCCATATAGTCTTTATAATTTAAGGTAAAAAGAGAGGGTCCTCTACGAATAATCCTGGCACTGCCTAGACACTCCTCTTTATCATAAAACACCGCAAACTGACCCACACACAGAGCTCTCATTGGTCGTTCAAGAGACACTATTAAACCGTTTCCACCAGTTAGGGTACAAGTACATTTTATCACTGGATGACTGTGTTGATATCGAAAGTCACAATCAAACATCTGATCTTTATAAAGGTGTACAGGTGGAGCTCGAATCCAGTGTGGCTGCTCTGTGAAAATCGTCTGGTAAAATAAAGATGGGTGTTTGGTGCCTGGAGCCTGCAAAAAATAAGGTAATGTCAAATAAATAAATTTGTGCACATCTGGGACTGATTTAAAACATAAGCAGACGCAGTCCACCATGTTTTTGGGTAGTTGCTATCTCTAATGACATATCATGAACTTCAAAGAATAAGTCATCTATCCAAAAATATCATTTGAACCAGCTGTCTTTTGGTGCAGATAATCTGACAAAGATTGCCAAGAGGATTGGCCAAAGATCAGTTTGTACATTAGACTGTGTCATGAGAACCCAACTGATTGTTTTTGTATAATCGAGCAACGGTATTTCTGCTCATCAAATTCAAAACAACCAAATGCAATCCCACTTCCTTTTAAGGTAATTCAAAGGGACATTCCCTTTTTTTTGTAAGTCGAAAATTTTTTTTCTCAAATTTGTGAAAACTATAAACCAAAATCTATAGAAATGTATCCCATAACATATCTGAAAGTTTTAACTAAAATATATCCAGCCATCAATATTTTAACGCCAAAATTTTACTTTACTTTGCAAGCTGTTAGAAAACTACTGCACGGATTTGAGTAAAATAAACTCCTAATTGTAGAGAAATATGTCTGATCAAGTTTGATCAAGGAAATACATAGATATAAATAGCATACTTTAGAAACATTTTCAGGTATAATTTACAGCTTTTTGATAATAAAAATGTTTTACAAAAAAAGCAGAATGCCCCTTTAAGATGAAAAGATAATCACAAATAACTTTGCTCGACTATGAGTCTATGACTATAATGATCATTTGCCTTGCTGTTATCAAACTCATTCAGCTTTTGTTACTTACTCAGCCACATTATTTTTACCAATTGGATTTTCATAAAGTTTAAAAATGGAATGACTTACGACAAGAATATCATTGGTTGAAATTTTAAAATCTGCTACAAAATAACGTTTATCAATTCCACCAATACAAGCACGTTGTCCTATAGTCCAGTAATGAAAGCCTACAATAAATATTGACTTCAAATAACAAATTAATCTTCTTTCTCAGTCTAATAAAAACATCTTTCGTATTTATTTTATATAGTATAGCCACTTCAGTTAGGGTCTAACAACAGCCTTCTTGAACGTTCATCATATTAACCTTTTGACCTAACTTGATGACATCTGCTTTAATCAATCAAATTTCTACCCTCTCCAGCGCTGGTATTTTTTTACTAGGTCAAAAGGTTAATTTGACACCTATTCAAGAGGGCTGTTGTTAGATCCTTACTGAAGTGGCTAAATTTTCAAGGTATTTTAAAGATATCAGACACCTGTGATTGTTGCAATTCCACTGAAATTGCTAATAACATGTAAGGGCCTTTGCAATCTTCAAAAAAAAAGTAGTTTTAGTGGAGTTTCAAGAACTACAGCCATCTGACTAGAAATGTGAAAATCGAAAAGTAGCCTCTTTACTAACAATCCCTGTAACCTATTCTATTGATGAGAGGTTTGGTTATAAAATGTAACAACAGACTGTACCAACCTTTGTGTTCTCCCACTATTTTACCAGTAACAATATCTATAAAATTTCCTTTTTTCTGTTCAATGTACTGCCAAAAAAATTAAAGTTCTTATGAAACATAACATTTGTAATAATCATTTTCTTGCTGTGTGTGATATTTTGACAGTAAATAATCTTCAGGCATTGGCTCAGTGAGTTAGGCGCTTGCTTGCTAACCTGAAGGTCCAGGGTTCAATCCCAGCATAGGTTGAGACAACTCCTTCTGATTTTTCAACCTGGTTTCCCCCGTCAGTGATGCAGGTAAGTGGGGCTTACATGGAAAAAGCGTCTAGTCGTTCTGATGGGACAATAAACCAAGGCCCTGTGTGCTACAGGCTGTGCACGTTACAGATCCCTTGACAGTTGGAAATCAAAAAAGAGCAGGCTAATGCCTCTGTCCTGGCAAAATTTCCCTTATTGTACTCTGCATGGCGTTGCTCGTCTTTATTAGCCCACATGGTGTAGAAAAATAGGAAGTAAAACTCATTCTAATTTCTTCAGGCAGTTCAATTATTCTATTGTAATAATTTTCACCTTTGTTTGTAAGAAAAAAAAAATTGCCATGAGTCCTTTAAAAATTAACTGGTACACTGTACTCCATTTTGACTTATTCTAATTTCGAGACTTGTGTTAACTATTTTTAGTTTATGAACACTAATCAAATAATATATACCTCTTCTATAAAACTTTGAAAATTTCTTGATCCAATAAAACAAATTCCCATACTCTATAAAAAATTGAACAAAACTTTAACTGTGAAGAAAATTCTGCAAAAAAAACCCTGATATACTTAGCACAATTTGTCTCATTTTTACAAGCGGGTAGATTAGTGCAGGTGAAACTGAAATCATAGAAATGGCTGAGACAGAAGGCCTTCCCAGTTACCCATGTTAGAATGGAAGAGTAAACGTAGAATTTCAAAAGTCAACACCAGGAAGAATTTTCTTTTGAGAAAAGTTTAAAAATGTTATTCACCTCTTTTTTCTGTACTATATGTTCTAAGCCAGCAGCGACAGCCATTTTACGCACAAATGTTTTATTGATTTCACCCACAGGAAATATTGTCTTCTGCAACGCTGACTGTTTTATCTGACTCAAGAAAAATGTCTGATCTTTTAAAACATCTTCAGCAGTTAATAATTTTACTCCTAGAAAAGAACAAAAATTTTAACAATGGACTGATTTCTTGACATTTTTTCATCACGAACAACCTCGATCCTTTTACAGCTGGGTTGAATGAAATAATATGGAGAGATGACTTAATCAAGGTTGGCTTTTGGATGCCAACCGAGATGAGAACCCACGACCATCATTTGTTTTGAGTTTACCACGCAAATGACCTTAAGTAAAAATTCCAATACTCTCACTATGTTCCAACCTGTCTTCACGTAAAAGAAAGACAAAAAATCTGGAATTATATTTGTTTTATGCCACATTAGACAAACTGCAAATGACAAAGATTGCTAAAAATTAGATTTATCAGCCATTTTATCAAAAACTGTATCATTTCAGATTTGGGCACAAGAAACACCCACAAAAAACAACGAGATACTCCACTTGTTTCATTGATAGAATGGTGTCAAACTGAGAGATGACTCTTAAATGCAGCGGGCTCGTGATTGACACTCAAAACCTTTCAAACTTCAAAGAGACAGTAGTTTTTGACCAATCATATCTTAGTCTCAGAAACATGAATTTTTTAGCTAAGCTAATCTGTAATTGTGTCCATCTTCGAAATTTGAGCCTTTAAATCCATGTTTGTCCAGAATTATCTACATTTGAAAGTTAAAAAGACGAGTTGTCTTTTCTTGAGACACTATAATATACAAAAAGACATCTATCGAAATAGGAAAAGAAATTCTTAGTTTGAAATATTTTTGAAGGCTTCGAGACTCAAATCAACCCCCTAAACTGGCACATCTTTCGATTTAATCAAATATAGAAAAAAAGTGACCACAAGTTACCTTTTTTCTTGTCTACTAGATGTAAATCGAAACCCACGTCTGTTCTAGCGTAATGTCCTGTTGCTATGGCATCACAGTTTAGCTTTTCTAAAGCATATTTTAGAAACATGTTGAATTTTAGATACTTATTACATAATATATCAGGATTGGGTGTTCTACCATTCTCATACTCAAATAACATCTCACTGAAATAATACAACAAGATTTCACTGAAATAATACAACAAGATTTATACAACAAGATTTCATTGAAAAAAATACAACAAGATTTCATTGAAAAAAATACAACAAGATTTCACTGAAATAATACAACAAGATTTATACAACAAGATTTCATTGAAAAAAATACAACAAGATTTCATTGAAAAAAATACAACAAGATTTCACTGAAATAATACAACAAGATTTCACTGAAATAATACAACAAGATTTATACAACAAGATTTCATTGAAATAATACAACAAGATTTCACTGAAATAATACAACAAGATTTCACAGAAATAATACAAACATCATTCACTGAAATAATACAACAAGATTTCACTGAAATAATACAACAAGATTTCACTGAAATAATACAACAAGATTTCACTGAAATAATACAACAAGATTTCACTGAAATAATACAACAAGATTTCACAGAAATAATACAAACATCATTCACTGAAATAATACAACAACATTTCACTGAAATGTTACAATAACATTTCACTGAAATGTTACAATAACATCTCACTGAAATAATACAAACATCATTCACTGAAATAATACAAACATCATTTCACTGAAATAATACAATCAGCATTTCACTGAAATAATACGATAACATTTCATTCAAAATATACACCTCACTGAAAATATTAGTGTGACCTTGGCCAGTGCTTTTATAGGAGAGTGTTAATTCAATGGATTAGTGTATATCTTTAGCTATCCACTACCTACCTAAACACTTGATTCCAATATTCTTTTACAAAATTCACTTCATGTAGAGGGATATTCAGCTTTTTACAGACAAATTCTGCATCTTGTAAGTCAATATCTGGTTGACAGATACCTTTCTCATTTACTGTGTCCCAGTTTCTCATAAATACTCCTATCACTTCAAAACCTACGACACAAAAATTGATTAATTAACTTATCATACATTAATGATGAGCGGACTTTCTGTACAGGAGGCATAGTTAACAAACTCATTAAGCACAATTACATTGGAGATGGTTGTTGAAGCTTTTAAGTGTGCCTTTAAGGGACAGATGTAGCATTTCCAGGGGTAAATCATACCTTGGTGTCAGAAATGTGAATCGTCCTGCAAAACTAATCAGTAATAATGTTCACAGCTCACTGTCGAAATTTGAGCCTTCAAATCCAAATGTATCCATAATTATCTATGTTTGATAGTTACTTTAACTGGTCGTTATTTATTTCGAGTATCTGTTGATGATGTCATGTGTTCACAGTAGACTCAGTAATCCTGTCCGACTTCATCTACGCACAGCTGCGATGGAAGATGTCTTGGCGTTCAACTTTCGAATGTACCACAAATTTCATAGAGAAAGCTTCAAAGGGTATTAGCCCTTGAATACTTGTCATGCATACTAATTGAATTTTAAGCCTCTTGCCATGAGTACAATGTGGCGTTATTAAGATTCGTGATAAATCTCTTCACCTCATGTCTCATGAGTCTCCTGTCAGACTCAAGAGTTTGACTTTGAGTTAGTGTTTCAGACAATCACTATTTTCTAACCTTGTTTCTTCAGAATTAACGCACTAACAGCGCTGTCAACTCCACCAGAGACTCCTAATGCCACTCTTCTCAACATTCTTAAGGATTTACCATCAATTTTATGGAAACGTTTGCATTGTTTTACATTTAAAGTAAAATTTATCTCATCTTTGATTTTCACTTATGTTCTACTTTCAGTTTATTAGATGAAGCTCGGATGATGATTGGCTGTTTATGTAAATGCTAGATTAATCAGCCTTTCAAACGGCTGCCTTTTTATTTATAGTGATTAGTGAACTTGACAAACGAGATAGTGCATACTGCCACAACTTTACTATTTCAGCTATTCTCAATGATATTTTCATTGAAAAACAATTTCAAATTAAGGATTATATTCATCATTATATCGAAATTAGCCTTATAAAGATTTGGTTGATTATGAGGGAACCTTTTGCCATGAGTGAGAAAAATGACAAGAATGTATTAAAATTAAAGTATTAAGTACTAAAAAAGAACGTTATCAGAGATTCTCTGAACTATGAAGTCGTTCGTAAAGGGTTCACCAGTATTCATGATTAGAAATCATAGTTATAAATATTATTGACATTTACGACAATGTCGTGTGAATAGCTGAAGTATGTTCTGACCTTCCTACCAAAAGAGTTCCTATTGTGTTTGTCACTTCCGGATTTAGATAAGTTTGTTTTTATGTCGAAGAAGAGTGTTGTCTGTTTTTTCCTTTAATGTCGAAAATGAACGAAAGCAGCGATGGAGCTGTCAGTAAAGAAGATATCCATTGTCTTTTGGAACACTTTTCCAAGTCGACGCACAAAGTTCGAAGTGGTGACATGAAGGTAAACATCTTGAAAATCGTCAGAAAATTTTAGAATTTGGGCCCTGACCCAGATTTCATCACTGTTTACATTTTATTATCGTCAGTCATGTGACATAATGATATAATATGTAACAGATTTGTTTATGTTTATGTCATTGTAATTGATAACAGATGTTATCCTATAGTCATAACAGATGTAAGACATTGATCTAGATGTATATTATTACATTATGCTAGAAAATGATAATGGATAAAATGGCCCACCTATCATCAGGCAATCATGCAACTGTCCACCCACAATTGTTTGCAGAATTGCATTTTGCCAAACATTTATGTATTAAATGAAACATCAATCCCAAAATACTTATATTGTCTATAGGTTAATGAAAATGCCAACCAATGAAAAAAATATAAGACTTTAGACAAATGGCATGCAATTAAAAATTCTATTGTGAATGTTTGTGAAACTGAAAGGACAGAAAACTTGGGAATTCCTTTAATACTATAAGCTTAGCCTACAAGTGTGCCATAAATATTTTATCTATCAAACTAATGTTTAAAGGGACAGGTGTTGCCATTCTTTTTGACCAATCATACCAATCAATCAGTAATAGTGTTCACAGCTCACAGTGAAATTTGAGCCCTCTAATCCATGTATGTCCAAAATTATCGGCGTTTGAATGTAAAGAAAAATTCTAAATAAGTTAAGTAGGATAGATTCCACAGTGTATTATTTGAAATGGAAGGAAGTTCATCCATCCAATTGACACCAGCTTTACTTTTTCTTAAAATATAAGCTTAAATCAAGAGATTTTGTATAATTTCAGGGAGATACTGTTATGGAAACATGTTTACATTTGATTGGAAAAGATTATAAATATTCGGTTTGTATTCTATTTTTGTTCTATTGTTACTTCAACACCAAAAACATGCTGTATTTTATCATGTTACTTTAGAAATCGAAATCGAAAAGAGCAGACTAAAGCTGCTGTCCTGGCAAAATTTCCCTCATTTCACCCTGCATGGCTTTGCCCTTCTTTTTTACCCCACATGGTGCAGAAAAGTAGGATGCAAACTCCATTCATTTCATTCCATTTGACTTATACCTTTCAACTTAAACTAAATTGACATGATCTACATTGATGATCCTTGATATAAGCTGTCTGACTACATTGAACTCTGAATTGAATTTTTTCTCTCATTTCATAAATATTAAAAATAAAATTTTCAGTTGTATACAATTTGTCTTAGAATGTCTGGTATCTTTAGAAATATATTAAATAACGGAACACAATTTTATGGTATACTACTCCTTAGTTTTATTACACACGACGTTTCAACAATCTACATTGTCATCATCAGGTGAAGTGAGGAAATGTAGACAATGTAGATTGTATAAAACTAAGGAGTAGTATACCATAAAATTGTATTCCGTTATCAAGTGTGATCTCTACCCCTAAATGTCGCTAAAGGATTATTTAGAAATATAAGGTTCAATGATTTTACATTTGAAATAAACAAACTTTCTTTCCAGAAAATTCATGTAAAAATGGCCCACTTTTTCCCCTCTGTAAAATTTTGTTTACAAATAATAACTTTTCGAGTGGTTGACATTTTTATCAACCCAAAGACAATCGAAGACTCTCAGTAGTATTTTGAAGATGATATTTCAATTCATATGAAAATGATTGTGATAATTCAATTCAGAAATCATTGTAGTCAGAGAGTAGTTATCTATTAATTTTTCAAACACTATGTCAAGGGCTTCCTTATTATAGGTTACATTTGAAGTATATTATTAAGTTGTTATCTCATTATAAATTTAAAACATTATCAAATTTCCTCCTTGGCTACTATTATGTTGTGGTATTAAAAACTCTTTCCTCGTGTTATTTCAGTCTACGTATTTTGATAATATCAGTAGATTATGTCTATTATAAAGAGGCATTTGTTTTCATTATTGATTTAACATATACATATAATTATGTACTTTTGTTATAATATTAATATACAAAAGGAACAGATCCGCCATTTTGGGTGTTGATTTGAGTCTTGAATATACGTAAATATATAAGTACTGGAAATGTACAAAAATCGCATTAATGCAGTCAAATATCTCAAACATAGAATTTCTTTTCCTACTTCTATAGATGTCTTTTCTATATATGACAGTGTCTCATAAAAAGACGACTTTTTGACTTTCATATGATTCAGACAATTCTGGACATTTAGATTTTAAGGCTTTAATTTGACTGTGAGCTTTAGACACTATTACTAATTGGCTAAACTGAGACTAAACTTAGATTAGTAAAAGAAAAATGTTGCGACTGTCCCTTTAAGTTTAATATTATAATATGAGTTTGTAAATTCCAAACTTCAAAAGAAACAATTCCATTGCTGCGAACTGAAATTATAAATGAAAAAGTTTTATGGGTGGCTTCACTATAGGATTCTCAAATACGTAAGCTTATACAAAACTTCATCCATGACTATAATATATGAATATTTCCTTGAAAGTTTTGGTTTGATTGTCGTCTGCTAAGTGATTAGGTGTCCTGGATTCAATTCTTCAAAAACTAAAATAATAGTTTTGATGCCACTGCCAGTGCTTCCTGAAGTCAACACTGTGACATCTTTCAAACCCTGTCACCAATATTTTGACCTAATCATTATAATTAATATTGTCTGTTGTATGATTTTGTCTATAGCATCCCAAAGTATTATTATTATTTTGTAGATTGTGCATAATTTCAATGGTGAACTATGTAGCCAGTATCCTAATAAGTTGTATATATTTCTATTATAGATAGTACATAATTTCAATGGTGAACTATGTAGCCAGTATCCTAATAAGTTGTATATATTTCTATTATAGATAGTACATAATTTTAATGGTGAACTATGTAGCCAGTATCCTAATAAGTTGTATATATTTCTATTATAGATAGTACATAATTTTAATGGTGAACTATGTAGTCAGTATCCTAATATGTTGTATATATTTCTATTATAGATAGTACATAATTTTAATGGTGAACTATGTAGTCAGTATCCTAATAAGTTAGTGGTATTGGAATATGAGTTAACAGAAGGTGATAAATCCAATACAAGAGATGAGTAAGTCTAACTTTCATGATCAAATCAAATCTCAATAAACGGAATGCTTGCGACTGCTCTTATCCTATCAAATTGTGTGACACCGTTTAAATGGAATTGTGATTTAATTATGAGATATATTTATTATTATTATTATTGTAGCTTACAGAGTATATATGATATGAATAAATTAAGAGAAAGTATAAGACAGGCTAGATTTGCACGATGTAGATCAAGATTTGTTGTACCTGTCATGTTATTTGAAGGAAAGGTAGGATTTTAATGTGTGTAATATTAAGGCGTGGCAACATGAGCGGTCTTGGTCGCTGATTAGAGTATTGAGTAAAATCTCACGTGTGCCTGTGCTTCAATGTCAATGTTTTATCGTCTGCACGACAGACTGTCATCATCCAATCAGATTCATTTTCCTTTCAATTGCATGATCTGCAATGTGGAAAACAACTGATCGGAAAATTTTGTCTTCTCGGGTGTCCATGCCAGTCCGTGAAACTCAAGACAAGACTCAAGTCGGCAGCAAAAATCCCCCACCTTCAGTGATTAAATTATGCCTTTTCTGATTAAAACTTTATTTATTGAGTTCATTCTGATGAAAGCTTAAAATATTGTCCTTTTATTCATTTGTAATCTTATTTATTTTTTAGCAAATTTGTAGATCTGCCACGTTGTCGAGTGGTGCCGAGATGTATGGAAGATCAGGAATTGATTTCCTTTTTTCAAGTAAGATAATTTGCTCAAATAGGAATTTTCAATTTGGTGATATACCTCTATATAATATTATAGGTCTTGTTCCTTTATTTTCATTTATTACTTACATAAATTGAAAGTAGATGTGTTCTAATGATCAGGAAAAGTTTGTCTCACATGTCCCTAATTAACTCATAATTAGCTAATTACCAAGGAAATACAGACGATTTTTGTTGTCAAGTTTACTGAATAATTATGGGAGCTGCACGTGTTTCAGCATTATTTTCATGTCAAGATTCACAGGTTGAAATATATATACTAGTATCAGACAGAATGCACTTTTCTTTTACTCAATATTAATTGGTAATATTATAAAGAATAAGAAAATGTAATTTTATGTTGTAGGTAATGAAGCTATACCTAATGGTACCAATGGAGAACAAAGGTACAATGGCTACGTTATATTTTTTTAGACATAACTTAAGTCAATAAAATAAAATACAGACCACTTCACAATTTTTTTTGATTCAAATTTAAATGTAGATATAACCTATAGCACAATTCATAGTGAAACACTCAAAAATGATAAACTGTTATGAAAAAGACTAAGCAGTCCTAAAGTTCAACGCGTTGTAAGAGTACAAAGGCCCCTTTCCTCAGTGAAAGAATCGCATAAAAATGTGAAAAATCTTAATCATTTTGGTGATAAAATCCTGGATGAATGATCTTCAAAGAGTTCCTGAGTTCCCTTGTCTTAGGCAAATCAATCAATGCTGCTACAATAGTTTTTATACGCCCACACATAAGATGGGCGTATATTGTAATGCCCCTGTTGGTTTGTCCGTCCGTTCACATTTGGTTCATGCTCACTCTACAGGCTATAATTCTTTACAGATTCTTTTGATTTTAATTTTGTGTGTCAATGTCATTATGAAGATGATCCCTATTGATTTTCGTGATGATCAGATAATTTTTCACCGAAATATCGTGTCTGACTTGACGTTTCACTCTATTAGCTATATTGTGCAACTCGTGTTAAATCATTTCTGACAGTTGCCAGTGGGCGTATGTAACCTTGCCTGGCAAGCATCTTTTTGAGTGTAATTTGTTCACATTGAAAGTAATTTAGCATTGTATTTACAGTGAAATGCAGTTATTTGATAGATATAGAGGTCAAGATATAGGGTTATTAAAAGAGTTAAAAGTTGGATATATCTGTGATTTAATGGTTGAGAAGAAAAAAGTCAAATTTGGAATGAAGTAAGTATAAGGTTTAATGTAAAGATTTAGATTTTGTTTTCCCTGTTGGTTTCTCCAGCCAAAGTGAGCCTTAGTGGCTCATAAAGTTAAAAGCTTGTTTGCTAACCTGAAGGTCTGTGATTCATTCTTGGCAAAGTAGATAATAACTTTGGAGTTTTCGAACCAGTTACCCAAAGTCAGTGATGCAGGTCGGAGAGACTGACAGCGTTTGAACATTTAGGCAGGACAACTAACCAAATTTACAATCATCAGTTAGAATTCATATACAAAATAGGCAAATGCTGCTTCCTGACAAAATTTTCTTCATTGCACACTTCAAGGTGTTGCCTGTCCTCATTAACCAAAATAGGAGTAGAAACGAAAGACGTAAAAAATTCATTTCATTTCACATTACCTAGTGAATATGAAGAAAACTTATGGTTTTCTATTACAGTATAACATCATCAGAGAAGGTAGATAAAGAAAACCGGTATTCAGATTTTACTATACTAGCTGTACCATATCCAGGTAATAGCCATTTTACTATTAATAGTTTCAGTATATAACTAGTAAAAGATTAGATTTGGTATATAAGTTTTGATGAAATGTGTATTATTATGTTGACAGGTTGTGAGTTTTTTAAAGAATGGAAAGAGAAATGTTTTACAGGGCAAGTAATTCAGTATGACTGGAATCAGGTCAGTAAATGAGGAGTAAATGCATGGCTATGTTGAACAAATGGCAGTTGTGGGTTTCGATCGGCGTGTTGAACTCTGATGACCTTGAATAAGTCATCATCACTCATAATTCCAGTCAATCCAGCTGTAAATGGGTATGGATAATTCAAAGTGATATAAGAACAGCAAACAAATTTGAGAAATTTGCTGTTATAAGATGGTTTTTTTTTTTTATTAAGCCCTAATCAACATGATACAGTAATCTGATTGGTAATTAAAACTAAGTTTAAAATGGATTTTAGTGATTGACCAATCAGATGACTAGAATATAGATTCCTAAAGCATCTGTGCTCTACAACCATGTATTGTTTGAATATTGCAGGGTTTTAATGATGCTTTATTGGATATACCAGATACTCCCCTACTTTCACAATTACCCATAGACTGGCTTAAATACAGGGTAAGTATACTCCCCTACTTTCACAATTACCTATAGACTGGCTTAAATACAGGGTAAGTTTACTCCCCTACTTTCACAATTACCCATAGACTGGCTTAAATACAGGGTAAGTTTACTCCCCTACTTTCACAATTACCTATAGACTGGCTTAAATACAGGGTAAGTATACTCCCCTACTTTCACAATTACCCATAGACTGGCTTAAATACAGGGTAAGTTTACTCCCCTACTTTCACAATTACCTATAGACTGGCTTTAATACAGGGTAAGTTTACTACCCTACTTTCACAATTACCTATAGACTGGCTTAAATACAGGGTAAGTATACTCCCCTACTTTCACAATTACCCATAGACTGGCTTAAATACAGGGTAAGTATACTCCCCTACTTTCACAATTACCCATAGACTGGCTTAAATACAGGGTAAGTTTACTCCCCTACTTTCACAATTACCTATAGACTGGCTTAAATACAGGGTAAGTTTACTACCCTACTTTCACAATTACCTATAGACTGGCTTAAATACAGGGTAAGTATACTCCCCTACTTTCACAATTACCTATAGACTGGCTTAAATACAGGGTAAGTTTACTCCCCTACTTTCACAATTACCTATAGACTGGCTTAAATACAGGGTAAGTTTACTCCACTACTTTCACAATTACCTATAGACTGGCTTAAATACAGGGTAAGTACACTCCCCTACTTTCACAATTACCTATAGACTGGCTTAAATACAGGGTAAGTACACTCCACTACTTTCACAATTACCTATAGACTGGCTTAAATACAGGTTAAGTACACTTCACTACTTTCACAATTACCTATAGACTGGCTTAAATACAGGGTAAGTACACTCCCCTACTTTCACGATTACCTATAGACTGGCTTAAATACAGGGTAAGTACACTCCCCTACTTTCACAATTACCTATAGACTGGCTTAAATACAGGGTAAGTACACTCCCCTACTTTCACAATTACCTATAGACTGGCTTAAATACAGGGTAAGTACACTCCACTACTTTCACAATTACCCAAAGTTTTAGGAGACTTTCTTTTATAAGAAAATAAACTTTCAATATTGCTTGGCAACCTTGGTTACCAATTTTGTGAGGCAATGTATCTTCTGCAAGTCTTTCACTTCTAATTAGAAGAAGAGTTGACAAAAGGTTGAATGGCTACCATCTCCCTTGCCTACTTTCCAGATCATAAGTAAAATAATGTTAACCCTTTGAACTCTGATATGATTCAAAGGGTATGAGATTAACACTCACTTAGTAACTGCCACTCAGGTATATATCAATAATTGTTCTAGTTTTGAAAGGGTTAACATGTCCACCAAGAATTTCAAGAATCTGCCAACCTGTACATACCTTTTCAATACCTATATCACATAATTCTTCTTTCAGGATTGGGATTTGATCCAGTTGACACAAAATTATTTAAAACTTTTATTACATTTAGTAACACAAGGTAAGGTTCAATTACTTGAATTTTCATTGGGTAAAATCTAGTGATAAAAGTAGCTGGCAATTACAAAATCACAATAGATGGTTAAAACAATGTCCAATTGTTATTGGCCAGACAACTCTGGACCTACCCTACCTCAGATGTAACATACAGATGTGATGTCTTCCCAGTTACAGTTTAAGACATATCCTTGGACTGTATGTGATACTGTTTGGGGTACAAGGACATTGTAGAATATCTGGTAATATGTTGATGGTCTCATTAATGGCTCAGCTATGTATAGTTACCAAAAGTTTTGACAAATATGGCTTTGGTCATGGCGAAAAACCTTCTTGGTGCAACTCTGGGACTGAGTTTTTTTCAATTTTGCTCAATTACATATAAGGACATATAAAGCATATAAGGTTATTTTGGTCGTTTATTGTAAAGTTTATTATGTATTCTAGGTGACAGTGGGTTATTAGTACATTGTATATCAGGATGGGATAGAACACCACTATTTATATCTTTACTAAGATTAACACTATGGGCAGATGGTGTTATTCATCGTACTTTAACACCTGCTGAAATACTCTATTTAACACTTGGTTATGATTGGTACTTATTTGGGTGAGTCTGGACATATTATAGTTGGTAATTTTGAAATTTGGTAGGCAAATGCAGGAAAACAAACATTGATATACTTATCTGCATCCACAGTATATTTTATCACTCATTTTATCATTCATGGTGCATACTTAATGCCAACTTGCTAATTTTTTTTCCTACGAGCAGGGTTGGTATTAATTGTGCTTGAGGTGAAAAGAGGGTGCGCATAATATTCGCAATTATACAGTAGTGAGTGTCATGAATTTACAGTCCATAGTTAGCAATTGAGATTTGATTAAAGGTACAGTCTGATTAATTTGTAGGTTTGAAGTTATATACTATAACCAAAATGAATGACCCTTACCTTATCTGTAAGTTATGACTAAAAGTATCTTGCAGTTGATGTTTTGAACACAAAGATTTATGTATATTATTATAATCATTGTGTTTTTCAGTCATAATTTATCAGACAGATTGAATAAAGGAGAAGAGGTGAGTCATCTAAAATATTAGTGTCATTATGATTGTGCCATTATAAAGCAGGGAACATTGGTGTTGGCTTGCTATTTGTTTTATTGCTTGATAGTAGAGATAAGTAATGATGTCATTGATTGCTATGTGGTATGCACAATCTTATAGTCCCTTGTATTGTTAGGAATCTTAATAGGGAACAAATTTGACTCTTCTTAATCTCAAATTTTGCTATCAACAATTTTTAAAGTTAGATGTTTTTCTTTTTTTGTTTCAGATTTTATCTTTTTGTTTTACTTTTTTACGATATATTGGTACTGAAGAATTTTCTGTGATAAAACGAAAGTAAGTCTTTGAGTTAGTACCAGTCATTTAAGATTTTCTGCATGTAAATTAGGATCAACACCAAATTTTAACATGTAACAGAATAAAACAAGAACTAGATGATTTGAAATTAGGTGTCTTCAGGCCAAAAATCATAACAACTAAAAGAATGTAATGCATGATTAAAATAAAATTTCATTCATTTTTGCTGGCTATTGTTACTAGACTAGTTGGTGGTCAAGTTAATGTCTGCTTCTAGCTAACTGATATCACATATTAGTAAGTTGTTAGTGGTCAAGTTAATGTCTGCTTCTAGCTAACTGATATCACAGATTAGTAAGTTGTTAGTGGTCAAGCTAACGTCTGCTTCTAGCTAACTGATATCACAGACTAGCTAGTTGTTGGTTGTTATGATTGTAGGTACGGCTAGTTTGGGTGTTCTCTACTATTAGTATTACCATCTATTTCAGACGTAGGACATCAACTAAGTTACTCCAGCCTGATTTACAAGTTATAGAAGAAAGAAGAGTAATGAGAGCTAATTCTGAATCTAACATTCCTCTTGACTCAGTTTTATTAGGTAAGTAAATCCATCTTTATAATGTCTAGCTAAACCAATTCTGTATGATACCTTTTCTTGTATCAGCAATTTGATTGGTTGTACACTAGAGTTAATCCTATTTTTAAAACTTTCCGACTATTGAAGAACTTAAAAGCAAAAAAAAATGCCTAATGATGTAAAACATAGTGAAGATGCTATAGACTGGATACTTTTGCATGTTTGATTTGCTCAGGTTGTTATATTTCTATAAATTTGGTGGCAGTCAAGCCGAACTTTTCACTTGAAATGATTCAGTGGTAAAGGCTTGGTAAAGACTCACCATAAATCATATAAAACCGCAGACATCCGATGAAATAAAAAAATGTAATAAAAGCCATAGATGGCCCAGAAACACATAAAAAAGCTAGAAAACCTCTTTAAAACGAGAGTAAATGTCACGAAAGGATTTTATTGAGTATATAGTAGGTTCTCATACTCTTGGTATTTTTATTTGATGTTTAGTATTATAGGATGTAAAACTCTAATTATATAATTGTAGATGGAGAGTTTGGTCGAGGTTCTTTACGAGGTAGTAATACAAGTATTAGTAGTTTTAGTAGTACCGAAACTGGTCCTATTACCTTCACAGTCGGTCAAGATGAAGAAAACGCTATTGTCTTCAGGTTTGACTATTTTATTACAAATATTTTATGAATAATTCAAAAAGAAGACCTGCCATTGTCAGTCGATATTTTTGAATTTTTTGTATTATCTATAAAATCCATCATCCAAACTTGGTATGGAAATGATTTGTCCCTAGGTTCAAACTAACCTGTCTCACAACAGTCTAATCCCAGCTCACGTTCCCTGTTGGTGGGTGAACAATCCAATCCTTGACGAATTCTGCTTCGCAATGATAGGAAGAGCCGACATCGATGGATCAAAAAGCAACGTCGCTAAGAACGCTTGGCTGCCACAAGCCAGTTAGCCCTGAGTTTGAAATGATCATATTTGGCTTCAATGTATTTGTGTAATCAATAAAAAATGATTGTGTATTTATTTTTTTTATTTTTCTTGCAGTGAAGACCCTTCAAAACCACCAAGTATTAGTCGATGTCGGAATTCCCCTTTGGCTTCAACAGCCAGTGCTGGCTCTACTGAGAGTTCTCTCCCTTATACTGGCAACCATTTTAATTCTGCTTCATCATCTAGTCCTGTTGCTGTACCAAATTTACATCGTCAGTCTGAGGCTTCCAGAGCTTGTTCACCGGGTTATGGAAGGTAATGCATCAAAATTTCCTTGAGATCATCCATCATATAAAGAAAAACCCCCATAAAAAAGCTTAACCTTATATGGTATCACCATGGCAATAGTTGCTTATAACCTCCATGGACCTTTGAAAGCTTCATAGTGAAATTGCAGAAAACCACAGACATCTGATGCTATTAGTGTTCTTGATACACATAAGACTTTTAGAAAAATTCTTGATAAATATATTTCAGCTGGCAGATTATATCAAGCTGTGGCAGTCTCAGAACATTAGGTTCAACAGATTCTCCTCATAATATTAGCTCTGAAAAATCCAGTTCTTCAGGCCATAGTCACGTTAGCTTTAGCTCGTAAGTTTTGCTTTTCCTGCTTACTCTCCGTTTTTAATTAACCATTTTAAAACAAATTCAGTTTGATCAAGTAGATATATAGATTCTTGCTTACTGCCCCTTTAAAATTCATATATGGCTCTATAATTGATGTATTGAACACTATTTTAACAGTGGTATTTCCATATCACTGTACAATTGATGTATTGAACACTATTTTAACAGTGGTATTTCTATATCACTCTATAATTGATGTATTGAACACTATTTTAACAGTGGTATTTCTATATCACTCTACAATTGATGTATTGAACACTATTTTAACAGTGGTATTTCTATATCACTCTATAATTGATGTATTGAACACTATTTTAACAGTGGTATTTCTATATCGCTCTACAATAATATTAATGTATTGAACACTATTTTAACTGTGGTATTTCCATATCACTCTACAATTGATGTATTGAACACTATTTTAACAGTGGTATTTCCATATCACTCTACAATTGATGTATTGAACACTATTTTAACAGTGGTATTTCTATATCACTCTATAATTGATGTATTGAACACTATTTTAACAGTGGTATTTCTATATCACTCTACAATTGATGTATTGAACACTATTTTAACAGTGGTATTTCTATATCACTCTATAATTGATGTATTGAACACTATTTTAACAGTGGTATTTCTATATCACTCTACAATTGATGTATTGAACACTATTTTAACAGTGGTATTTCTATATCACTCTATAATTGATGTATTGAGCACTATTTTAACAGTGGTATTTCTATATCACTCTACAATTGATGTATTGAACATTATTTTAACAGTGGTATTTCTATATCACTCTACAATTGATGTATTGAGCACTATTTTAACAGTGGTATTTCTATATCGCTCTACAATTGATGTATTGAGCACTATTTTAACAGTGGTATTTCTATATCACTCTACAATTGATGTATTGAGCACTATTTTAACAGTGGTATTTCTATATCGCTCTACAATTGATGTATTGAGTACTATTTTAACAGTTGTATTTCTATATCGCTCTACAATTGATGTATTGAGCATTATTTTAACAATGAAAACATTTTGTTATTGTAATTCACAAAGATGGATTTGGATTTGTATTTTTCAGTTGTCAAGAAGCGAGTGAGATCAACAATACATCAGTTCGGTGGCAGAAGTTAGATTCTGTCAGACGGATATTCCAGAATGCCTACTCCAATACTATTACTACCAGAGTGAATGGAGAGAGCAGTAGTAGTAGTTTAACGTCATTAGTCAATCATTTTGCTGAGAAAGTTGGTATCAAATCAGGGAAGAATACTGTTATTTGATAGAATAATCTAGGTTAGGAATCAAATTTTAGGCCTTACAACTGTCATTAAAAGCACAATTGTCCAAGGGATTACATGGACTTTTCTGCTGTTTTCATCTGATTGAATAAGACTACATATGGAATAAAACCACCTTCTTTGTACTGTCTGATAGCCATTTTTTTGTTGTTGCTTTTTCATTTTTGTATTATTTATGTGATTTAATACCACCTTTATTGTGCTATCTGTTTAAAGGGACAGGTGTGCCATTTTGGGGGGTTGATTTTAGTCCTGAATATATGTGAATAGTCTTCAGAAGTAGTAGAAATGTACGAAAATCACAGAATTTCTTTAAAAATACTTCAAACTAGGAATTTTACTTGCTATTTCTATTATGTCTTTTCTATATATCACAGAGTATCTTAAATTGGCGAGTCGTCATTTTAACACTCAAATGCAGATAATTCTGGACACACATGGATTTGAAGGCTCAAATTTTGACGTGAACACTATTACTGATTAGCTCAGCTAAAAAATTCCAGTTTCTCAGACTAAAGTATGATTGGTCAAAAACAAGCCGCATCTGTCCCTTTAATGAAAGAAACAATGTTATAGTTGGTTTATTTGGTAACTGTAAAACTTACCTTGTGATAATTGGTGAATTAAAATTTATAGTGAGATTTGTTTTTTTAGATCTTGCAGATATATTCAATACAGCTATCAAATAAAACAAAGGGATTGTAAAGATATTTTTTTTAAAAATTATGTGAATTTAGGAAGACTGTTAGCATGGATTTGAACTATTCCAAGTCTGACAGTGGGTCTTGCATTTCATGATGGCACTATCACAATAGCAACTTTTACAATAGTAACATCATAAAACACTTACTTATAGTGGAATTACAAGAGCCACTGATATCTGATTGAAAATTAGAATGATGCAAATTGACGCAATCAGTCCCCAATACACGTACAAAATTTAGAAAACCTCTTTACAATCCCTTTAAGATCAAAATCTTGCAATAGACGGGCTTTGTAGTATCTTTAAATAATAGTTATAATAATAATACTGTGGTGGTTTATTATATCTATGGAGCAAGATTAACGTTTATTTAGATGGATTGATTGATTTTCATCAAGATCCATTTTAGCTGCTTTAAGTTTAGAACATGTTATTTTGGTTGTGAATTTTATTTTAATATCTGATGTTAATATGAATAAGCAAGAAGTCTTTAGTTATTCAACATATTAACATAGATGTTAGAAGTACTGTATTCTCAAATTTTTTAATATATAGGTGAACATTTGCTTGTTAAAGGGGTTTAAAAGATGTTTATGGGCATTTTGCAGACACATTGGTAGCATAGATTTTCACCATATACATTATCAGTCAGACTCCTGTGGTTCTTGCAATTACACTAATATTAAATGTTTTAAATTGATGCTATCAGTGTCCCTAATACACATAAGAAGTTTAGAAACCTCTTTACAATCCCTATAAGAATTACAGTTTTGTAACCAAAAGTAAGATTTTATGAAAAATATGCCTCTATAAGTCTCCAATGAGAATATAAATCCTGTCTTATTTTCTTTATGAAATATGTTTGATTGTAGCCATAATCAGTTATATTAATTAATTAATTATTAATTAATTAAATATTTTGCCTGCTTTTGATTTATCATATTGCTCAAATTGCATGTCACATAAGATAAATTTATTTTTGTATTTTTTTTTTTTTACATTATTTATAGAAACACTTTTTTTTTTGAGATTTTGTTTCATTTCACCCGAATTTCATGAAGGGCATCAGATATTAACTCTAGTTCACTTGTTAAATTACCAGAGACAAGAACAATAAAGAGATTGTAAAGAGGTTTTCTATATGTGTATCTTAACCTTTTATGTGTATTGGGGACACTGATAGTGTCAAGTCAATTTGCATCATTCCAATTTTCAATCAGACGTCTGTGGTTCCTGCAATTGCAGTAAAACTAATTTTTTGGGGACGTCACTAATCACGAACTTTGCTTTATCATTGCTTTATTTTGCGATTAGTAATATCATCAAACACTTAATTTTAGAAGAATTGATGGAACCAGACGTCTGATTGAAAATTGGAATGGTGCATATTGATGCTATCAGTGTGCCCAACACACATGAAAAATTTTGAAAACCTCTTTACAATCTCTTTAAGTTAAACTTTACAAAGAATGGTACAACTCTTTTGAATTCTTCAAATTTCTCTTTCAATAGAATAGGTATAAACTTAGTGCAATACTGTTATATAATTAAACTTTCTATATTTAGCTTTCTATAATCATTTTTATTATAAAATTAGTAGCCTTAATTCTGAAATGTATACTCAGATCATGTAAACAAAAATAATTTTGAAATCGTAGTTTGTTTAATCAGAAAGCTGAAATAGAATTTGAATAAGGGTGTTACAGCTGTATTATTAACTGAATAGTGAACAAAATATTATGTTTTTATTCTTTTGAAAAGTTGAAGACATGAACAGCCTTTAATAAAGATATGTAACTATCCGTTAAATCACTCTTAGATATTGAATTTATTCATAGCTGTAACATTGAATTATTAGAAATTGTATATCGTTGGTTACCGCTTGAAACCGGGTATATGCCATATTTGGTCATTTTTACTTTTTGGTACCGTTCGAAAGCTCGTAAAAGCGCGGATCTTGTGATCAAAACCTCGTATTCTTAGCTTGATTGTAAATAACTCAAAAGGCACTAATTAAATAACACGTATATAAACAGTCAGATTTAAAATCTCTTAAAATATATTATTATATGAGGTTCAATGTTCCTTTTTCTGCTGATGAAAATGAAAAACCTCATACTGTACTATTATACGAGTTTTTGGTTGAATAGGTCGGAGTACTCAAACTGTTATACGAGATTTAAATTTTCAAACAATGAAAACCACGTATAGCGGTAAAAATTAATAATAAAAAATATTTTAACAAAATACGCTTACAAGTAGTTTTTTGCGTTTTTCTCGAAAAGTAATTCCGCGTCCTATATCGTTATATGAGGTTTCAAGCGGTCACCCACGATATCCTAGAAAGTCTGTATTCATGTTCTACTCTTGTCTTAAAGAGATTGTAAAGAGGTTTTCTAAAAATTGTGTATGTATCGGGGACACTGATAGCATCAATTTGCACCATCCCTTTTTTCAATCAGATAGCTGTGATCCTTGCAATTCTACTTAAACTTTGCATTTTATGACGTCACTTAACACAAAGGTCCAAAATAGCATCCACTTTTAGTGGAATTGCAGGAAGCACAGACGTCTGATTGAAAATTGCAATTGTGGAAATCAATGCAATCAGTGTCCCTGATACAAAGTTTAGAAAATGTCTTTACCATCTCTTTAACTTAACTATTATAGAGCTATTATAACTCATTACTTCTAATAAAACCAACTTTAAAGGACTGACTTAATTATGATTGTATAGTAAATGTAATATGTATATGTAGATATATATAGAATTGTATAGGAGTTTATACAATGTTTTTATTTATATTCAATTATCCATGATATTAATAAAAATATTTTTAGAGATATGATTTTAAAACTGTTTTTTTTTTTTTTTTTTGACTAGAAAGAACTCTAAGCATTAAAAACGGGGAATCAGTGACAGCTTTAATGAGGATACAGTGGGGACATTTTCCCCCTTGAAAAATGGTTTGCATGGAGTTTTATGTCCTATTTTTCTGTACCATGTGGGCTAATGAAGATAGGCAACGCCATGCAGGGTGCAATGAGGAAATTTTGCCAGGAAAGCGACATTAGCCTGCTCTTTTTCGATTTCCAGCTGTCGAGTGATCTTTAATGTGCACGGTCTGTAGCACACAGGGCCTCGGTTTATTGTCCCATCCGAACGACTAGACGCTTTTTCCATGTCAGCCCGTTGTACCTGCATCACTGACAGGGGGAAACCAGATTGAAAAAATAAATGTATATAGAAATAGACAGTGAAATTTTCTAGTTTGAGGGGGTTTATTTTTGAAGGAATTATGATATTTTCGTACATTTCTAGTTGGCTACTATATTATGAAGACTATTGTTCAAGACACATCAACAGCTGAAAATGGTGAAAAGAGGTGTATGGACGATTCAGAAAGAAAACATTAAAGATGACGTTAGCTGAAATATTATTTAAATTCAGCTATATATACGCAAGGGGATTTTTCGTATTGACAATTAGGCTCCCAGCTCTTGTGAGTTTGAAGTCTGCTTGCTTTACAACTTTAACCATCTACTGATTAAAATTTCGTTTCGTTAACCGACACTTATTTTTGTTTGGGTAGAAATTTTACAGAAACCCTAGTCCGCAGTGAAATTTGTGACGTCACTCAAGCAACATGCCGATTGAAAATTTAGAAGAAGAGGGTTTAGCGAAAAACCCTAATTTAGAGTATGCACAATGGAAATATTTATTAGGAACTGAAAAATACAAGAATGACAAAGCATTGGCGAAGAAATTACAGGACGCCATCAAGGCAGATAGTAAGTGTTTCGAGGAAATAACAATTTTTCACTGACAAAGTGGTTTGTTTTGATTTTCCTTTCAAAAATGATTTGTCATTTTCCTACATCAGTACTTATCCTCCTTTATTTTTGTCAACATACGATGCAATGGTTGAATTTGTATTAGATACAGCAGATAATAACTGAGAACAGTATAGTCTTCAGAGGATTAAGCTTTGAATCATATCTTCTGTCATTTAATAAAAACGAATAATGATGTTAATATGATGGTTTAATCACTTTTCTCTAATGTCAAGGCATGGCCAAATTTTATGAAGAGGTGTGTAAGGATTTGGGATGGAAGTTAGATGCTAAACTTTTCAAAGACATGCAGACAGCCAACGAAGCCGAAGTAAAAAAACTAGATCAAGAAATTGAAGATACAGAAAAGAACATGGGAGAGACTGAAATTCGTGATTCAATGTTAAAGAAAGCTGAATTCCTTTGTAAAGTTGGAGATAAGGTGGGCTTTGTATTAAAAACTTCCAGAGAACTATATTAAAACTTTTGTCTTGTCAAATTGATTATCGGTTCAACAGAACATGGGTTTACTATTGTTCAAATGGCATGGTGATTTTCAGATGCGTATTCACAAAATATTGTGATGTAGTTTCAAAATTTTAAAAATCTGTACTATTGGACAACCAGTTAGACAGTTTAATTACCTATAGATTAGCCTCTCATGTTGGATTGCAGTTTATGGGGCTCTGGCTTAAAGATTTTCCTCTGCAGATTATGCATTTATTCAACTTCAAATATACTGGTAAAGTGGGGGTTGTGGGTCTACAGAGTAAAACGGTTGAGAGGGATTTCACTGTACTGTAAGAATTTTAGAATTAATTAGATTTTGTCTAATATTGTGCCTCTAATTTTCCAGGAAGCCGCTTTAAGCCAGTTTCGGAAGACATATGAGAAGACTGTATCTCTGGGTTATAGATTAGATTTAGTGTTTCATCTAATACGTCTAGGATTATTCTATATGGATCATGATCTTATTACTAAGAATTTAGAAAAGGCACAGAGGTAACTTTTTATAAGATTTTATTTTTTTGGTGCCAGTCATGGATTCCTGGAGCTCCAAACTAATGTATGATAATTTGTTTATAGAATATTTTCTTGAAGTTTGTAAGCTAATATATATATATATGTGAATTAACAATTACAAAATATTATCCCCTTTAAAAATAAATGCTCATTAATTTTGATAGTGATAGAATTTTTAAAACAGAACCTGAAACATGTAACTCAAAGTTTCATGCTGTGTGATCTTCATACAACTGAACTATGGCAGCCTGTGTCTCTAGATCTAATGAAGTTCGACATGATAATTTATTATAATATATTCATTACAAATATTTTACCTCCTGCATTTTCTGTAAATCTTTTCAATGTTCAATGAGGGAAATTTTCCCTGCACAATAGCATTTATCTAATTTACCTTGATAATTGAAATTTGGAAACAAAACCTGATATTGAAATGTCTGTTTTTGTGACATGTATTTCTAGTTTGATTGATGAAGGTGGAGATTGGGATAGAAGAAATAGATTAAAAGTCTACCGTGGAGCTTACTGTATGTCTATACGAGAATTTAAAACTGCAGCTAACTTATTTCTTGATACAGTAGCAACTTTTACATCATATGAATTAATGGATTATCATCAGTTTGTAACCTATACTGTTATATCATCAGTTATTGCCTTAGACAGACCAGATCTCAGAGAAAAGGTACCAGTATTTGAATATAAATTATACCATCTCTTTTCCTTCTGTTCTTTAGGTGCCCTTACACCCTAATGATTAACAGTTGCAAATGGTTGCAAATAATGAAAGTGGTCATGAGTTCCTCTCAGTTGTTTGAGAGATGTGTTGGAAACATTATCGCTATTCTTATTTACTACCATGATGCAACTGGTGATCACTATGGTGAAGGGCCGGATTTTCTCTTTTTTTTGGTTCGTTGAATTTAAGAACTAATGATTCATCTAAAATGAAGTCAATTCAAATCGCATTTTTGGAGAACACGAAGGATAAGCTTATTTGAATGTGAGATCTCAAATTCTAATGCTCTATTTCAGGTAGTAAAAGGTTCAGAAATATTAGAAGTGTTACACAGTCTGCCAAAAATTCGACATTATTTATTTTCTATCTATGACTGTAGATATGAGGAATTTTTCAGGAGTTTAGGTAAGTACTATAAATGGAAATTAACTGTGTATTAAACCCATCAAGGTCCCACATTACAATGCGGAACAAAGAAGGGAAAAGCTGTCTTATCATGGTACCATCTGGGACATCTCGTAATATCTTTTAGACTCAATGATGGCTCAGCTATGCATAGTTACCAAAACTTCTGCCAAATTTTATTGAGACATTCCATTTCATTTGACTTTTGCAATGACATTTAAACTAGACAAATAAGTAGCAGTGCTGTAAATAAGGATGGGTATCGATAACCAAATTGAGATCGATTATAAATGGCAGGCTATCAATCAATAATCGATTAATAATTGAAATGATTATTTTTGAAAAACCCTGTAAGTACTAAATTAAAAACATGCCAAAATTCATATTTTCTTTGGTTATATTTAGAAGTATATTCTTGCCTTCAATGATGATGATTTTAAATTTTCAGCTGAAATTGAAGAGTTGATGAAAGATGATAGATTAATCGTAGCTCATTATAGATATTATGTAAGAGAAATGAGGATTATGGCCTACGCTCAGTTATTAGAATCTTATCGAAGTTTAACTTTAGAATATATGGCTAAAGCTTTTGGTGTTACAGTTTCCTTTATAGATCAGTAAGTTATAACTTTAATACTGTATGTTATAAAACAGTTCGTGGCTTGTCTTAGATTAAGATATGTTGTTATTCTTTTATTATTACCAGTATGTGAAAAATGGCTGATGAATGAGAGCTAAAGGACCATTTTGATTGGACAATAAATATTTTCATCCAATCAAAACACTACATCTAGTTAAGTCTAACCTGCTAAGAAATTTGTCTACCTCTCATGCATAATTATGCTGTGAGTTTGTCCATCTCTTTTGCCTAACTAGCCGTGGCTATGATTTTCACTTCTTTCAAAGAAGACAGAGTGTTTTAAACCAATGATATGAAAGATATTTTCTTAGAAATTGAAGTATTGAATTGTATATTTGTAGAGAACTAGCTAGGTTTATAGCAGCTGGTAGATTACACTGTAAAATAGATAAAGTAGGTGGTATAGTAGAAACTAACAGACCTGACAGTAAAAACTGGCAATATCAGGTAATATACACCTTTCTTCACTCACCAATTTCTGTGAAATATCCAGCAATTTAGCTCCAACACTGAAAAGTGTTTTAGTGAAATTGCAGGAACCATAGATGTCTGATTGAAAATTGGAATGGTTCAAATTGATGCTATCAATGTCCCTGATACACATAAAAAATTTAGTAAATCTCTATAAAAATGATATCAAGTGTATTAAATATATTTTGTTATTTATTTTCAGTCAACCATTAAACAGGGAGATATTTTATTGAATCGTGTACAGAAACTGAGTCGTGTTATTAATATTTAAAACTATTGAGCCAAGAAATCATCTAGAACATTTCATATTTCATTATAAATTATCTGCCCTTTATTTCACTCTACATACCACTCAAGAATTTGTAATAAATATGTTTACTATAGTGTTAAATACTGTGTTGTTTATGTCCCAAGTTAGGTATCCAATTTCTGTTTTTTTTTTACCCTAAGTGGGAATTTGCGAGAAACAAAAAGGATATTGTATTTTGCCAGTGGGAAGCTTTGTTAAACAGTTGGTAATTGTAAAGTAATAACTTTGCAACCATTCTGAATGCAAATGTGACATAACAACAGGAAATGAAATCAAATGAGTATTTACGTCATACTTTCCTGGATCCTTGTTTTTGAGAATGCCATGCAGTGTGCAATGAGATTAAATTTGTATGGACGATGTCATAAGTTTTCTGAATTTATTATCCAACTGTATAGAGATAACTTATGTGCACATCCTGTAGCACATTTGATCGCATCCCAATGCATTTTCCATTTAACAGGAAAAGTGAATCTAACTCTCCCAAAGTGTATGCTGAATTAACAGTACCGTATCAGGGTTGTATTGGGTGTTCTGAAGGAGGAATATTTGATTAATAGTCCAGAATCAAATGCTTTGAGAAAATAAGAGCATCTCAATTTTTTTGAAAAAGCAATTTATCTTTTCTCAAATTCTTAGTTTTAATCTAATTCTGTTTCAAGTAGTGAAAGCAACTGAATAGAGATCAATAATTAAATGTCAGACCACAGTAATGTAAAACTTGAGTTGCTTCCCCTTAATTGTTTTAGTTCATGAAATTCGTTTCGAAAAATTCAGATCGATAGTTATGATTTAAATCTATTAATTTATTGATACGAATTAAAAATTCAAACTGTAAGATGAATATCAGAATTATTTTTCCGAGTTGTCTTCATAATCAGTCTGAAAAAATATTTGTATGAAATTTCTTCGATAATTTTAACCAATCAAAGATCACAATTGAGTATCAAAACAACTGCGGAACATTTTTATGTCTGCAGGTGTCAAAATGGAATAAAAATCGCTTTAGAAAATCAATTTGTCAGCTGAGTCAACCATCGTTTCTGTATCATCATTTTGATTAATTCAAAGTAAAGGTATTCAAGATGCCGGATATCGAGAAACTGCACTTGGAAGATGCACTGGAAGACAGTCCTCAGGTATTTATTAGAAACAGAAAGTGGGAGTGGTCTGCTGGGAAAATTCCAAACATGTTTGTTATGCTTAAGGCATAAAATTGCCGGTAAACTCATTTAGTATTGGATATTGCCAGTCATGTCAACACGACATGGGTCATATGATAGATATAAAGTATCATACAATATATTATCATGGTATGCGGAAATAGGTTGTAGGCCTATCAATGTGTACTGATGATATATTGGATTGGCCAGTACGCCAGTGGCTAAACTCTAAAAGCTTTTAGTCATAGGAATGCCTGACACAATTGACACAAATACCCATAACACAAATGACATAATTCTTTGTTCACCATCTGTTTGACCAATCTTACCTTAGTCTCAGAAAGTAGAATTTTTTTTAGATAAGCTATCAGAACAGTTAAGTACCAGTAACCTTATTTCGTGTGAACCTAATTTACTGTATCACTGGAAATGATAAATAATTTACATGTGCATGACCCCCGCATTTGCATGTTTTGATTAACAAGGGTTATCTCTACAACGTCAACCTGCAAATTTTTTCCTATCAAATCAATGTCAATTTTATTAATTATTTCTAACATAAACAAAATTGGGGATTTCTGTTATTACCAAATATCACTATTTTTCCAGATTTCTTTATAATCCCAAGTTGTAATTGGAATTCCAAGTGTCGTCTGCTAGAATTTATATTCCAGTGAACAATGTCACCTGTCTTTCTTGAAAAATCTATGAAAAATTCCATGGAACACTATGTGAATTTTAGCAATAAATTCTTCTTACTTATTTTGTCATTCACTATTATTTTTTCAATCATTGATCTTTGAAGAAATTGTCATTAGTTAAATGAATTGATATTGAAGATAAATACTAAGAAAAGATATTTATACCACTGGGTATCCAGTGGTATGTTTTTCTCAACATATTTATAGATCAAACATTGTACACGTAAATAGGTGACGCATTTTGAAGCCTTGTCGAGTTGGTTACTCATGAAATATGGGTCAAAGTTAGGAATTCATAAAGAAAATCGAAACGAACCAATTTTTATTGTTTTATAGAATATAGGAAACTTCTAATACAAAAAAAAAAATTTGATGTCGAGTCCTTACATGCACTAATATACACCACTGAGAGTTCACAGCCCATTGTTAAAATCTGAGCCTTCAAATCCATGCGTGCCCCCTGAAAATGGCAACCCTGTCAATTTAAAAATAGTTGCCTTTTTTAATTTTTTTTTACTTTTGAATTTTTTTTTTATTCTAGACCAGAAATTTGTTGTCAGTATTTGAAAAAGATGCATTTGTGTTGAAGAAATACACAAATAGTCTACAGTCATGTTGTCAGAGAATAATGACTGCTCAGGTAATGATTATGAAATGTTCAGGGTACTATAAAAGAAATTTCCTTCTATTCTCTGTGATTTTCTTTAAATAAACTTTCAACTTAAAGAAAGAAGCAGCAATATTTTTTACAAGGATAACAACTTTAAGTCCAGCTGGTCTTTTTGGCCATCCCCTTTGCATTGATCTTTCCCAGATTATCCCTGTCCATTTACAGCTGGGTCAACTGGAATACATAATGTAAGCTTACTTAAATTTAAAAAAATTTTGTAAATTACAGAATGAATTATGTGCTGCTACCCAATCTCTAGCTCAACAACTGAGAGCCTATGAAGTACATGTAAGTACAATTTACTTCTTACTAATAATAATAATGATTTAATTAGTCATGATTAGTCATGATTAGTCATGATTAGTCATGATTAGTCATGATTAGTCATAATTAGTAATAGTGATATGGTTCTTATTATACATCTAATATGAAAACTAATTTTGTGTTATCATATTTGACGAATTGAGCTCAATTATTGATTCACTTAATCTTTGGTAACAATCATCTTCACAATGTCAAGATATTATGAGTTCTTATACCTTGACTGCTATAGTCACCTTTCTTGTATCAGTGAATGCAGTGATTTGATTGGATTGCAAGCTTATGCCAGTGAATACAACCAATCATAGCCCGCGAAAGAAAGGCTGTTAACATGGCTTTGTGTTCACAGACAATCTCAACAAAATGCTTCATTTACAAACCTCCATGCCAAGGTGGCTTTTGCAGTCAAGGTATAAGTATGCAGTTCCTAATAGCTTGACATTGTGAAGATACCAAAAATGTGAAAATATTCATGCTTGGAGAAATTGAAGGGTTTTCCATGACTGACATAACTTTCCAGCCCCTTGATGTATTATTTCTTTTCTTATCAATAAATTAATATCAACTGTATATTTTGTAGAAATTTCCATTAGAAAGTGAAAACAGTATATTAACGTCCACATTGAAACAGTTTGCTAGTTATATAGATGATGTAAGTACTAATCTCCAAGGTAGTTTTGAAGGTCACACGCTCAGCATTAAAGATATTTCACCTCTTAGAATGATCATTAAAACCTGGCCAATAATAGCATATGTTTGCAGTAGTACCTAGGTGTTTTATGTTCCACTATTGCAAAGTTGCAAAGTCGCTAAGATGTTAAGAGCAGTTTTTGTGTATCGCAGGAGTCTAACTGAAAACTGGCATTAGTTCTGGGTTAAATGATCAAAATAATCAATTATTGATTATCGTCACTAGGATTTCGATTATCGATTGTCAAATTTCATAATTGATAATTGATAAGTGAAGAAAATGTTTTTCAGATAAGTTCTATACATCAAGTATTGGCCTCACAGTTCTCAGAAACAATGATGTTTCCCATCAATAAATTTATGCAAGCAGATATTGAAGGTGAGTTTATGGTGTTTATTCATGGTTTCTAATCTTGATCAGCATTGACAATCCAGTTTACCTTGAATAAGTCTTTCTTAATTATTCCAGTAGAGCCAGTTACAAATGTGTAGGAATAATCCAGGAAAGACCAATGCCAAGAGGTTTAGCCACAAACCAGCTGGTCAACATGATCTGAGTGAACATGTCTAACAAAGCTTCCATGCTGTATTTGGCACTTAAGATATTCAGGATAATAAGAAACATGTCAAAAAGTTAAACTCTAAAGAGTCTGAAGCCTTGTTTATTATGGCAGTTCAGCTGTAAATGTTTCAGATTAGGAATTTTAGGTTGTAACATTATTTTGTGGTTAAGTAATGTTACATAAGCACAGGCACAGGTATGTAGTTGTTTGTGCTGTAATAGCCTTCAGAATGTGTGCATAAATTCAAATCTGAAAATTTGATGATGTACAGAGACAATCTGAGTCTATATAGTTTAAAATAATTTTGTCTTTTCCAGAAATCAGTACTATGTATGAAATGTATCAAATATCATCACAAGGTAACTATTTTCATGTTCTCTATAAAAATTGAAATATCAAATAAATTGTTAAGAGATTTTTTAGCTTTTTGTATGTATCAGGGCTTCTATTTGTATTATTCCACTTTTCCTTCAGATGTCTGTGGTTCCTGTTATTATAGAATGATTAACATGATTCAATATATTGCAAAAGCCGCTTATATAAAAGTTTTTAAGCTTATATAAAGGGCTTAGTTGGAGTGGAATTACAAGTCCCTCAGACATCTGGCTGAAAATTGGAATCTTGCAAATCGATACTATCAAAAATGATTAATTCATGGCATTGAAATCATTTTGTGCAAAGGTCAAAGTTGAAGTTGGTTTAATAGACAAGTTTAACACTAGAATGAAGAATTATTCAGTTTGATTACGCATGAAAGGTGTTTTATCTGACATCATGTTGTTAATGTATTTTAGAACATGAACAAGCATTACTAAGATACATGAAACTATCAGCTAAGAAGAAGGAGAGTGAAAAAGTACGAAGTGAAACAAATGAAGAACTTTACACAATGAGGAAAAAATTTCATCAGGTAAGCCTAATTATTTCTAATATATCAAGGTCAAGGTGCTTTCCAGCGCATAACAACTTAGTAAACACATCTTCAAGATGTCAAGCTTTTACAAACTTCTTACTTATACCTTGACTGCAATAGGTACTATCCATATATCATGAAATGCAGCGATTTGATTGGATTGTACTCTAGAGAATGCAGCCAATCAGAGCCCTCGATATAAAGACTGTAAACATTATTACTTATGGTTTACAGAGTTTCTGTCAAGGGCTGTCAAGGGCTGTCATTGGCTGTATACAGTAGCATACAACCCAATCAAATCGCTGTAGTGACAAAGAAAGTTGGCTATTGCAGTCAAGGTATGAGTCAAAGTTCTTAATAACTTGACATTGTGAAGAATTATTTTTGTCGTTGTCATATACAAAACAATGATCCCGGGCAAATCCATGGTGGCTGTGTGTTCCAATCTCGATCGGTGTGCAAAAGTCTGATAAGTTGAATAAATTATCTTCAACCATAATTCCACTCCAGTTGACCCAGCTGTAAATGGGTAGGGATAATCTGGGAGAGATCAATACCAAGAGGTTTTGTCAAGGATCAGCTGGTAGAAAGGATCCTTAACTGTTATCCTTAATTAAATAAACTAAATAACATTTCAAAATTTATTTAAGATGAAATATATTTTAAGACATTAAACATGAGACAAAGTCATGGATATATATTTCAAGGAATATCCATAACCTCTCCAGCTCTGCCAATAAATACCATCATAAAAACCACTACTTGGTGTATACGGACCATTTACATAATAAACACCATTGGGTAATGCATAGGAACAGTAATTATACCACCAACCACATTTCTGATTGTGAGCACACAAATTAGAGTCTGGTTTATCAAATGTTGCAAACTTATGACCATCATTATGAGAAAGATCATCGCCTACATCTCCACTGAAACCATGAATAGTTAAATAATAATCATAACTGTCTTGTAATTTGAAATATGAATATCGAGCGTTGCGATTATTGTTTTGCCAATCTTGCATATTGATTGTTAAAACATTGTTGCCAGTTTGTGTTAGGTAGTAAATATGATTCAATCCCAGCCAAAAATCACCATTTACATTTCCAAAACCTGCCACATAAGTTGGAAAGGTTTGAATGAAATTCTCATTACCATACATTCTCCTTTGTATAACAGTAAAGGCATTGTCTCCTTTCATTTGACACTCAGTCTGAAATGGATACAAGATGAAATTAGGACAAATTTAGTTTAGGTATTAGGTGATAACTTTCTACAATAGTTTTGCTAATATAAAGGTTTATTGAACTTCCAGAATATTTTTTCAAATAATTGGCCATGCAACATTAAATACCTTGACTGAGTTTTCAGTTTGGTTAATTTGGTGCCATAGAATATAAATTCCTGTTTCTTTATACCCAGCATCATTTACTTCCTGACAATCTGAAAAATACAGAAGTATGAAATTAATAAGTTAAAACTGCATGATAATTACTGTTACACATGTTATATAGAACACCTGATTTCACTCTGGGACTGAGTTTGTCAACTTGGCGTATCTTCAGAGCCCATATAGTTGGGTTTATATTCATTATGCAATATTTCATCCTAAAGTTTATTGTCTTGTTTAGCAGAAACTTCATATAGATGGAGTACTTCAATTCACTGTGGCATAGCAGCTTTTATTCTATGGATTTTTCTACTCCCTTTTGTAGAGTTCACATAGCCAATGTAATATAGTGCTTATTCAGTACGGTATTCAGGTTTGGCCTTTACACATTTCCAAAATTTTAAATAAGAATTATGGTTACCTGAAAATTTCCTATTATCTATGATATTTATAGGAGTTAGTGCTAGTAATGATGAGAAGAAAGTGTATATAACTAGTATTTGTAGACAGTTAGACATCTTTAATCTTCCTGGTTTCTATCAGACACTAGCCCACCCTGAAATTATACATTCATTATATAAATAAATACTTGACTGAAATAATGCTATCCTCTATCTTGGTTGTATATATATTCAATATGAAATTTCCTCCACATTGACTACTCTGAGCCTTTGAGAATAAAAACTACGAAGGCATTATCCAGTTTCATAAAAACATGGAGAATATATATATAAGCTTACTGAAATGAAATGAAATGAAATGAATGGAGTTTTACGTCCTACTTTTCTGCACCATTTGGCTAATGAAGACGGGCAACGCCATGCGGTGGGGGAAATTTTGCCAGGACAGCGGCATAAGCCTGCTCTTTTTTGATTTCCAACTGTCAAGGGATCTTTAACGTGGCCAGCCTGTAGCACACGGGGATCGGTTTATTGTCCCATCCGAACGACTAGACATTTTATCCATGTCAGCTCTCTTACCTGCATCACTGACAGGGGAAAACCGGGTTGGAAAATCTGAAGGTATTATCTCGATATTAGCTTACTAAAAGGCTAGTGAAAATCAAGTGGATGTATATATCTGGTGTATCCAAAAAAACGTCAATGGCTATTGCAGTCAAGGTATAAGACAAAGTTCATAAAAGCTTGACATTGTGAAGTTGATTTAGATGGGGCCAAAGTAATGGTAGGCTACTCATCCCCAAATTTTCCTATCCAAATTGCATTATATTCATTCTTACCTAATATTCACCACCTACTCTCTTTGTTAAATGATAAAACAATTATCTTATTGAGTGTATTTATGTTAGTTCAAGTTGTGAAACTTCCTGTATAGTTTATAGTAGGATTGTATTACTGAGTGTCCCATGTCTTCATACTATTGAGCAATAATCACATGATAAGGTTTTCTTGACCTATTTTATATTTAGCTGTGTTGACAATATTTTTAGGGTTAAAGATGGGTTTGCTTATTTTTTAGTGTCAAATTAATCAAACTATTTGGTTAATTGGTATTTCTAATGATATCATTATGTTCTTATTGCATATAATTAAGAGTTTTAACCAATCATAAATGTTCATGTATGTAAAGTCTGGATAAACAAAAAAAAAAACTTTTTGACCTTTCTTGATCGGTCAATCATTGGAATTCTGCTGGTAATTCTCTTCTAATTTAGCTAATTATGAGTTAATTATGTCCATTTGAGACAAACTGATATTTCATAAATGAAAATAAGGGAACCCATCTTTAAGGGTAGTTTGACATGCTATGAAAATACCCTTCATATTCCACATGAACTCTTCTAAATATACTATTATCATTATGATCAAATAAGCTTACATGTTAGGAATAGTCTAATTTAGTGTTTATGGGTGACAAAATATTTTGTTTGGTAACAAGTTAATTTGTCGTCTGCTAGGAAATATACTGTCAATGTCCCTGTGGCAAAATGTAATTCTGATGCTCTGCCATGTGCCTTTCAAAAGATCTCTACTTTGTCTTTCATATCATTTAATGTCTTATTTGACATTATTCATGCAAAGGAGTCTTTTTTTTTTCTTCTTTTTCTTTGGCCCACATGAATTGGAATAAATTGAAATAACTCAATAACAATTGCCATCATATTTATGTGGTATAAGTTTATAGAATAAAAATTCACATATCGAAGTTTTGGTTATTTGTGTGACACGATTAAGGCTCTTACATATAAAGCCTTCATGAAAACCAAATCTTTTATGTATCTAGGTCCAAAAAATACCAGCTTTCCATCTGCCAGAAAACAAATAGATAGGAAGGGCCTCAAGCGGAGAACATACTTTTGAATTTGTGAAAATATAAAATGGGGGTACATTTAAAGGTGCAAACCATTTTTCTAGGGGGTCAAATGCAATCCCACACCCCCCACCAACAACCCCATCTGATAGAGAACAATTTTCAGTCAAAATGTGACATTTTCAGATGAAATTCTACTCAATACAAAGTCATTCTAAATACTATCAATAGTGTTCTAAAGCTCAAATTAACTTCTGAAGAATCAACAAAATTTGATATTTACCAATATATATGGTAAGAGCTGTATTCAAATCAGATTTTCAGATTTTTCTACAAATTAGTAATCTGTATCAATATTTTATATTTACAGACTTCCCTACATTACTATTCCTGTTTAAATGCTCTACAGTATAAAAGAAAGTGTTTTCTATTGGAGCCAGTTATGGGCTATCTCCATGCTCAGAGAGCATTTTTTCAGATGGGATGTGATGCTGTGATGAAACCAGAAATTGATGATTTTTTAGGCAATATTAACGCTAGTGTTCAAAGGTAAGCCACTCTTATTTTAACTATATTTTTTATATTTAAGGGGGCATTCCGCTTTTTCTTGTTAGAATTTTCATTATCAAAAATTTATATCTATGTATCTACTTGATCACAAATTGAATTTGTTTTGAAAGGGTTAATTAAAAACGGAGAGTACTAATTGTTGATTAAGCAGTTTGACCTTGTTTTGGTGTTTAGCTTTATAATGGCTTGATATTATTAGTTGAAACCCTTGGAATATGTAGGAGACATATTTTACTTAAATCCGTACAGTAGTTTTCTAACAGCTTCCAAAAAGCATAGAGTAAACCTGGTTGAAAAATCTAAAGGTATTATCTTGACCTATGACAGGATTAACCCTGGACCTTCAGATTAGCTGCATTCTTATTGGTGATATAAGGTCCAGAAAAGTTGAACCTTAAACTTCATTTAGTTTAAAGGGATTTTAAAGAGGTTTTCTAGTTTTTTTATATAAACATGGCCAGTACCAAGCTTGGACTTTGTTCTATGCAGACCTTCGTCTTTACCGTTCTTTACTGTATTTATTTTAGTGTGCATGCAGAGTTATCAGCAGAGACACAGAAGACAGTAGAGTTGATAGAGTCAATAGAGAAACAGAGTGCTCATTTATACCATCCTGAACCCCCTATAGATATGCCCTATATACCCCCTAATACAGCACTCTCACAGAAAGCTGGATATCTCTACCAAAGAAGGTAAGAGTTCAGGATGTCCCAGTCATTGTACTCTGTGATATCTGACATCTGAGTATTCAAACATTCTGCACAATCCAAAATCTTTTCCTGGTCCTGATTGATTTCCTTCTTATGTCAGTTTAAAATTCTATGTAGACCAATTGGGAAACTAATAAGTGGTTCTGACACTCAGAAAAATCTGAATAATCCGAAATATAGTCATCTTAATCACTTATCGTCAACTAGATAATCGCTTGTATTTTTGATAATCCAACATAAAAACAAAATATAGCTGATATCAATTCTGCTGATTAACCACTGCCAATGACCTTGTTTCAAGACAAAAATTGTATGTAGTCCTAAAATTTCTGACTATTGTCATATCTTTTTAATTTTACATTTAAGTTTTTGGCTGACTCTATATCTCATTGTTCATCATAATATTCATGGAAGGCAAGAGACATCCATATTTTACAAGTAGGACAACTTAGGTTCACAATTAATGATCCTGTTTACCAGCTGGTCCCTGGCTAACCCTCTTGGCGCTTACTGTTGGGTTACCTGGAATTATGAGGAAAGATTTAGAATAGTTTTATTCAGGATCACCAGACTTTATCATGCCGAGATTAAAACCCAGGACCACCATTTGTTTGACCAAGCAATTTCAAAGGTTAATTTTTATGAACCAGAATTTATTTTAATGCCTTTCAGTAAACAAGCATTAATTGGATCAAAATGGGACAGAAATTATTATTTTACCCAGGGTGGAAATTTAATGAGTCAATCAAAAGATGAGGTAAGAAATTTTCAAATGATTTTGATTTTTTCCTAAATTTTTCTGTTGTTGATTTTTCATCTGATTAAAATACAGGTTCAGTTATTGTTGTGAAATTTTAAAACTTTCATAATTTTAATAGGTTCTAATTGAAATACTTGGGAAATATTATTGATGAGCATAAACTTAGATTATAAGAATAGATACTACAAAAACGATATTGTCTATGTGGACTCTCCAAATACCCAGACTCATAGTAGATTAGAGGGACAGATTCGCCATTTCAGGGGCTGATTTGGGTCTTGAATATATGAGAATAGTCTTCAGAAGTACTTGAAATGTACGAAAATCACATAATACCTTAAACTAGGATTATCTTTTCTATAAGCTCATAGGCCTATGACAGAGCCTCAAGAAATGATTAGTCATCATTTTAACATTCAAATGCGGATAATTTTGGACACACATGGATTTAAAGGCTCAAATTTTGACGATGAGCTGTGAACACTATTACTGATTAGCTTAGCTAAAAAATTCCTGTTTCTAAGACTAAAGTATGATTGTTTGACTGACAGATATTTTAGGAAAAACCTTGTCAAATACACCAAAGGGGATAATTCACAGAAAATAATTGATATTTTTTGTGCTAGATTTATTTTGTTCAGTTTACTATAAGCTTAAAGATGGGTTTCCTTATTTTTAGTGTTAATTTAAGAAAACTATTCTAGTAATTGGTGTTTGTAATGAATTATCATGTATTCTTAATAATATCATTTTGTTCTTATTGCATATAATTAAGGAGTTTTAACCAATCATAAATGTCCATGTATATACAGTCTGGATAAACAAAAAAAGATTTTTTGACCTTTCTTGATCGTTCACTCATTGCAATTTTTCTGGTAATTCTCTTCTAATTTAGCTAATTATGAATTAATTATGGACATGTGAGATAAACTGGTATTTTTTCGAAGTCATTAGAACACCTCTACTTTCTATTCAAATAAGTATTAGCATTTTACATAAATGAAAGCAAGGGAACCCATCTGTAATTCACAATACACCAAAAAGTGTAAGGTGCAGGGGACGTAAATTTATCCATGAAAAATAAGTATCTAGGAATATTAGAGATTTCACAATGAATACTGTATTTTAATCAGATTTTTATCTTTTGACATTTTATCCTGTCTTTCAATAATGATTCACTTATTATTTATTTAGTGAATGCTTCACAATATATTTCTCTTAATGATATTTACTACCCTGTGGTTTAGACTGACGACTGTTGCTTTAAAACCTTCTAGCAGCCACAAATTTTGTTAGCGCAAGATTTGTTATCAATATCAAATAGAATATTTGATTCGTACAAATTTGATCTGTAAAAGTTCCTTTCCATATCTTCCATCTGTAATCATGGTCTTAAAGAGATTGTAAAAAGGTTTCCTAAATTTTTTATGTGTATCAGGGACACTGATAGCATCAATTTGAACAATTCCAATTTTCAATCAGACGTCTGTGGTTTCTGCAATTCCACTAAAACTAAGTGTTTGATGACATCACTAAACGCATATGGCCTTATGTGATAAATGATATGTTGCCATCAGTGATGTCATCAAAAACTAAAGTGGAATTGCAGGAATCACAGACGCTTGATTGAAAATTGGAATGGTGCAAATTGATGCTATGACATCAAAAATTTAGAAAACCTCTCTAAAATTCCATTAAAAGAGATTTTAGTACATTTTTAAGAATTCATAGTGACATTGAAAAGGGTTTTAAGGCATTTAGTCCTGCTTTCACCAATAGTTTGAAAAAACACCATGAGGTTTATGGTTCTTGCATGTTTTACTACTTACTAACTTTTTTGTGTGCTTTCTTTTTCTATTTTATTCACCTTTTTTTTTAAACTGTCCACTCAGGCTAAAAAACGTGACCCTAAAGATGTGAGTAGATTTAGAGTTATTTCCCCTTTTGTACGTCTGATAGGAAAATTCCAGTGCAATATGCAGGTTTTGTTCAATGATATGAAAAGCATTAAGCATGCCGCAGATGAGAGGAACTAGCTGAACTGCTTGCCTCGAAAGGCTGTCAGCTGAGCAAGATTCTCGCTACTTTTTCCATCGCAAATGAGAGCTCTCGAAAGTGCTATTGTCTCACTAGAAAATCTTTGGCCAATTCCATACTTCAATGAAAATATCAAAAGAACGCCCGGTCAGCGACCAAAAAACTTCGACCAAGACTGCTTGTGTGCCCGCACAAAATAATTATGTATAAAACATTATATTGCACAAATTTTCATCAAATGAAAAAGAACAAAGCAATTGATATTAATTAAAAAAATTGAAATATATGCATTGTAGTACATCTTGCTTGAGATTTTACAACGAAATATTCATTGCTTTAAAGTGAAGCAAAAACTAACCGGTTATTTGCCTCGCAAGTTTTGAAATTTCACATTATTGGTATAAGCTGAAGACTGAAATTTTCCTATCACATAAATTCTCCTTCACACTTCAATTATACCTTTGATTAGCTATGACAGTTAATGATTTTTGTTAAGAATACTTTTTTTTCAGTGACTAATTATGTTTTACACAATTTTCTCAAAATGTGTGAAATTCCAAGTTGTTTTTTCCTATAAAATGTTTTCCAACATATTTGTTACAAAAAGTATCACATTCCGACAAATATCCTTAATTTTCAAACATTCAAAAGACCATATCAAAATATTTTTTCCTTTTTGCAATTTTAGCCCCCAATACACAGCACAAATATTTTTTCATAGATATTTCTGAAAATAATAATATTTTAAGCACCATAGAATTCAAAAAAATAAAAAAAAAACCAAAGTGTTAGCTCTTCGTAAAGCCCATGATGAGTTTAGAAAACGAATGATGACATTAAACTCTAGATATGGTACTGGTAAACATGGCCACCAATAAAACCCATGAAAGAGCAGTAGTTTAATTTGTTGAATGGCATCTGTCTATCTGTCTAATACCTTGACATCATTAGGCACCTTTCTTGTATGACAGATGATTGTAATTGTAGCAATTTAGCAGTGGCCTTGACAGACTGAGTTCATTATAGCTAAACATTGTGTGATGATCTATCTGTTGAAGTAATGGAGGTTAACCCTTTAACTGCCAAATATTTTTTCGGAAAATTGAATTCTTTTTTTACTTAATCTTCATATCGTGATATCATTATGACTTTTAATCAACTTGAAATTCAAGAATATTTGAATAGTAAAATGACACCACAATAAAATTACTGTGTAATCAAATTTCATGTCTTTCTGAAAAAAAATACCAATATTTGATGTAGGTTTTCACGATGTTCTAAAGAGCATACACATGCCTTTTTTTATTGTGTACAAATTATCACCGATGGTTAACCATGGTTAATTTATGTCATCACCGTCTTTTTAGCCATAAACTCAGTTTTATTTAAAGTTGCAGCTGAATGGGTAAATGTCACAATATTGTAACCGTGGCAGTTAAAGGGTTAATAAAGTTAATTCAGATCTTCACACATTATGTTATAAAAAGCTTGAAATTCAGTTTATCCCTCGATTGAAATTCAAAAACTGCTTCAATTAATATTTTGCTCTTGGATTTGCCTGGTTTCAAGCAAAACCGGCTTTGATCAGTAATATCTGTGTTTATATTTCAGTTTGCTGGTAGTTTAGTACTAGATTTAAATGAAAATGGTATAATGGCAGAAATAGGAGAATATGATGACAGAAGATTTGTTTTTCATATTGTTTCTCAGTCTCATAAAAAGTAAATCTATTATTTATCTTATATATGCACTAAGATAAGCACAAGTAGTTTATTTATTTATTTATTTATTTATTTATTTATTTATTTGTTTGTTTGTTTGTTTGTTTGTTTGTTTGTTTGTTTGCTTGTTTGTTTTATTTTTTTTTTCATTTATACATTTATTCAAACTTGCTATGTCTAGCTATATATTTATTATTTCAATTGAATCAGTATATATTTAATTAATTTATTTAAGAACGTTAATAGTATTACAAGCTGAGAATGATCGAGATCGTGCTGAATGGATAGCTGTGATAAATAATTTAGTTAGAGACAGTGGTTATGTCAGAGGAGGTAAAACTCCACCTCGATCTAAGGTAAAGTTATTTTTATTAATTTCACATAAAATTATTCATTACCTGAAATCAGCTGAATAACAAAAATAAAATCTTAACAATATTGTTCACTTAAGCTTATAAACTAACTTTAAATTGCAATGATGTTTATGATGCTTAATCATTAATTACAAAACTAAAAGTAAAATATAGTCTCTCTAAGAAAAAAATTGTGTAAAATTTTTAGGAACCTAAACTGCTAATTTATGATTCTAGAGCAAAAAATTTCCGAGATGAATTTTTTTTTGGAAAAAAAAACTTTCAGTTTTATGATTTTTATAGAACAGAACATTAATGATTCTAAAGCACAAAATGTCAATATTAAAATGAAAAATTGAAGGAAATAACATCCAGTCTCTCTTATTTTTTTTAGGACAGAACATCCAGTCTAGAAAAGAGTCAGTCCACTGATAGTCAGTCAATGCCTAGTCCAACTTCTCCAAGGTAAATTATGTCTTGAATATCAGATTATTTGTAAATTTGTGTTGTTTTCATAATGAAGGTAAACCTCTATCTTATTCCATTTGTTGTTTATGACAATGGGGCACTTTGAACTCCCAAATCACAAATAAAATTGTTATGGATGTCATCGCACAAACTGTAAATGTAATGATGTCTAGATTTTGTGATTTCAATTCAGTTTATTTTTTTTTTTTAATTTTGAAATTAGACCAAACTTTTGTTCCATTTCTTTTTTAGCTTTTATTTTTGAAATGGCCACTTCACTTAGGGTCTAACAACAGCCTTCTTGAACGTTCGTCAAATTAACCTTTTGACCTAAGTCAATGATGTCTGCTTTAACCAATCAAATTTCTATCCTCCTCAGCACTACCTACAAGGTGCAGAAAGGTGGGATGTAAAACTCCCTTCAATTTTGCAATTGGTGAAACCGAGGGCTGTCGTAAGACCCTAACTTTAGTGGCTACATTAAAAAAACCGAAATGAAAGTTTGGACTAATTTTGATATGATTGTTTCAGTTTGGAAGTAATTGTAGTATTTTTATTCCCTGGTTATTATTTTTTATATGTTATTATTTTGTATGTTTGTATATGTGTAGTGAGAGTAAAAATACTGGAAATAATGGAACAATGACTAAATCAACCAGTAGTTCATCTGGATTAACAGCTACTCAAGGTGACAATACATTAGTCTTGGAGACACCCATACAGTTTGATCTAGCTTCACCAACCCAGGATAATAAGAGTATGACAACGCCATTATCTGGTCCTCCAAAGTATGTATTAATGTCACCTTCCACCCCTTGCCACTTGATTTGTCAGTTTGGGGGGATTTGAGTTGTCCGTTGTCAGATGAAGAATACATTAAAATGGGTTAAAAAAAATTCAATCCCACATTAAAGGGACAGATGTGGCATTACCAGGAGTTAATCATACCTTGGTCTCAAAATTTAGCTGTTGGATTTATCAGTAATAATGTTCACCGCTTACCATCAAAATTTGAGCCTTCAATTCAAAGTGTATCTATATTTGATCCCCACATATGCCACAGTCGTCCCTTTAACCTTTCAGTTTTTAGAAACACAAAACAAAAGTGGCTGGTTTAATATCATTGATGGCATATGTATATTTTAAATTCTATTGGAAAGACAATTTGTAGATCTATATTCTGTTTGCATGTATGGATATTTATTTATATGTTATATGTTCGATATGTTTCTGTTAAATGAATTGAAAAACAAACCTGTAGAATGGAAATCTTCATTTTATTAACTCAGTTACAAAACAGTAGAATGTATACCTCCATTTCATTTCATTAACTCATATATACAAAACAGTAAAATGTATACCTCCATTTCATTTCATAAACTTATATACAAAACAGTAGAATGTATACCTCCATTTCATTTCATTAAATCAGATACAAAACAGTAGAATGTATACCTCCATTTCATTTCATATACTCATATACAAAACAGTAGAATGTATACATACAAAACAGTAGAATGTATACCTCCATTTCATTTCATATACTCATATACAAAACAGTAGAATGTATACCTCCATTTCATTTCATTAACTCATATATACAAAACAGTAAAATGTATACCTCCATTTCATTTCATAAACTTATATACAAAACAGTAGAATGTATACCTCCATTTCATTTCATTAAATCAGATACAAAACAGTAGAATGTATACCTCCATTTCATTTCATATACTCATATACAAAACAGTAGAATGTATACATACAAAACAGTAGAATGTATACCTCCATTTCATTTCATATACTCATATACAAAACAGTAGAATGTATACCTCCATTTCATTTCATATACAAAACAGTAGAATGTATACCTCCATTTCATTTCATATACAAAACAGTAGAATGTATACCTCCATTTCATTTCATATACTCATATACAAAACAGTAGAATGTATACCTCCATTTCATTTCATATACTCATATACAAAACAGTAGAATGTATACCTCCATTTCATTTCATATACTCATATACAAAACAGTAGAATGTATACCTCCATTTCATTTCATATTCTCAGATGCAAAACAGTAGAATGTATACCTCCATTTCATTTCATATACTCATATACAAAACAGTAGAATGTATACCTCCATTTCATTTCATATACTCGTATACAAAACAGTAGAATGTATACCTCCATTTCATTTCATATTCTCAGATGCAAAACAGTAGAATGTATACCTCCATTTCATTTCATATACTCATATACAAAACAGTAGAATGTATACCTCCATTTCATTTCATATTCTCAGATGCAAAACAGTAGAATGTATACCTCCATTTCATTTCATATACAAAACAGTAGAATGTATACCTCCATTTCATTTCATTTCATATACAAAACAGTAGAATGTATACCTCCATTTCATTTCATATACTCATATACAAAACAGTAGAATGTATACCTCCATTTCATTTCATATACTCATATACAAAACAGTAGAATGTATACCTCCATTTCATTTCATATACTCGTATACAAAACAGTAGAATGTATACCTCCATTTCATTTCATATACTCATATACAAAACAGTAGAATGTATACCTCCATTTCATTTCATATTCTCAGATGCAAAACAGTAGAATGTATACCTCCATTTCATTTCATATACTCATATACAAAACAGTAGAATGTATACCTCCATTTCATTTCATTAACTCGTATACAAAACAGTAGAATGTATACCTCCATTTCATTTCATTAACTCAAAAGAGTAGGATGTATATTTATACAAAACAGTAGAATGTATGTTTATACAAAACAGTAGGATGTATATTTATACAAAACAGAATATTTATTTACACAAAACAGTAGGATGTATATTTATACAAAACAGTAGGATGTATATTTATACAGAACAGTAGGATGTATATTTATACAGAACAGTAGGATGTATATTTATACAGAACAGTAGGATGTATATTTATACAGAACAGTAGGATGTATATTTATACAAAACAGTAGGATGTATATTTATACAGAACAGTAGGATGTATATTTATACAAAACAGTAGGATGTATATTTATACAGAACAGTAGGATGTATATTTATACAAAACAGTAGAATGTATATTACAAAACAGTAGGATGTATATTTATACAAAACAGTAGGATGTATATTCAGACAGAACAGTAAGATATATTTTTATACAAAACAGTAGGGTGTATATTTCCATTTCATTACCTCACAAAACAGTAAGATGTAAATCTCCATTTCAAAACTGGTTTATTTCAGACGTATCAATCCATTTGACCAATCATCAGTTGATGTATTAGATCCAGCGTTTGATAATGCAGCTTATTGTCAAGTGTTCACAGTCAGGTTTCTGGGATCTATGGAGGTGAAAGCTGATAGAGGTGAGATTAAATTGTATATAGAAAAAATCAAAAAATATTGAATATGAGTTATTGCCCTTGTTCTTGGAAATGTGTTCAATTTTGAGCTTGTAAACACTCTAGAAGGCACAATTCTTCAGGAAACAAAAATGCCATTCTCACTGGTCAAAAAGGTTGCTTTTCAAGTATTGATTGTTATTTTTATTCTGTAGGTGAGGGTTTGGTTCATGATACAATCAGACAAATAATGGCAGCAAGAGCAATACATAATGTATTTAAAATGACAGAATCTAAATTAATTATCTCTAACGAAGGTATGAGATTAATTGATCCATCGAATAATGCTGTCCGAGTGGAATTTGCTCTACAAGACATCTCATTCTGGTCTGCCCATCCAGAAAATGAACGGTATGTGCAAGTTTTGATATATTTTTTGAAGGCTCAGATTTTTGGATATTTGGGTAATTTGATTGTTCATAATCTTAACACTGGCAGCTGACTGAAAGATAACAACTTAGATAAACAAGAATCCTGTCTACCAGCTTGTCCTTAACCAAACCTCTTGGCATTGATCATTCTCAGATTATCTGTACCAATTTACAGCTGGGTTGACTGGAATAATGAAGAAAGATGACTTCAATATCACAGACCAATATAAGAAATTATGACCACCAATTGTTCGCCTGAACCAAGCAAAGGACTTGATGTCAACATTCTAATGCTCTAACTGACTGTGCTACAACACATCATGGTGTTATTTTGTTATTTCTAAAATTTAGGATAACAATGTTACAACATTTATACTTAAATTAAAGGTCGAGTTTGAAGGTACTATCTCAAAAAATCTGAAGAATTGTATATAATATTTGTGCTGTATATTTTCAGATATTTTGGTTTTGTAACCAGAACTAGAATGGTAGGAGGTACTCCTAAAAATAGTATTTCATTCGCTTGTCATGTATTTGAGAGTAATACTACTTCAGAAGAGGTGAGCATAAAAATAATCAAATATTATAATCGATTTCTATTAAACAATTACATCAATGTTGTATGGGACTGTCAACTTTGGGCTGCAGGCCAGTTGGAATGGAAAAATGGCTATTGCTTCTATCATTGCACATTTCATTCTTTGGGTATATACTTCTTGGCAAATACTCATTTTTTACACCCACAAAGTGTTCAATAAATGTTCCTACCATGAGAAGAATGTTGAAATGTTACTTAGCAACTACCCAGGAAAGTGACATCATTGAACTTCCAACTGACATTTCATGTGTGTCTGTCCCCGAGGAAGGCAGCCTTTGTGCTCTTGAAACATGTTGGACTTTAGGACTACTTACTTTTTTCTATAGCAGATTATTTTTTTGAATGTTTACCCACAAATAGTTTGGGCGTATATTTAAATCACCCTGTTGGTCCGTCCGTTCACATTTGGATTGTACTCTCTCTAAAGGCTAAAATTCTTTTGCTTTTGTGGATCAAGGTCATTATGAAGATGATCCATATCGATGTTAGTGATGATCTGATAATTTGTCACCAAAATATTTTGTCATCATATATATATCAAACTTTGTGTTTATTTGTAGATATGTAAGTCAATAGGAACAGCCACCAGAATGGCATTTCAAGCTTTAATGGTAACTATCTTTGATATATTAATTTGATTAATTGAGCAAAAATATTAGCAAGAATTATAGAATCATAAAGTAATTTAATATAGAATGACATCACTTTTATATAAAGAAAGCCTTTTTATTTCTTCCTGTAAATTTAAAATAGGTTAGTATCTAACATGACCACATTAAACACAATCAATCTGTTTAAAATGTAGATCTAAATGTTTTGTTTTGTGATCTATTTGTGATTTGATTTACCATTTATTTTCTTCAGGAAAAGAAGAACGCTAGTTCAATGAAAGGGAAATCTGCAGAAGCCAAGGTATGTATAAGTTAAAATTTCATATTGGAAATGTAAAGGTTAATTCTTGCAGGGTTCAGCTCTAAGAGATGTTATGGTTCTATAATCATAAAGGGCATTCAATGAAACTTTTCTGCAAGAGTTTTTAAAGAGGTTTCTAAATTTTGTATGTGTATTGTTGACACAGATAGCATCAATTTGCACCATTCCAATTTTCAATCAGACATCTGTTGTTCTTGCTATTTTATGAATGCTTTTGATCTCTGTACGTAGCTAACGGAAAGGTAACAGGAATATAATAGGCAGTTTTTGCGAACCATTTCTATATTTACAGCAACGTGATATTTGAAAAAATTGGAATAAAATAAAAGCAATAAATGGCCCTGATACACTTACAAAAAAGCGAGAAAACATCTTAAAGATAGAAATTGCTTTAAATGTAGGCTTTGAGTAAATGATATACTTTTTACTGATCTTAATGATGCCTGAGGCAACTTATTTTCTTCTTGAAATCTGTCAACTAATAGAATTAAATATAGTTGAGTATATTATAACTCTAGTAGATAGACAGTATAATTAGAGGTAATTATTTCACCTATATTTCCAGGCGTCATTACCGGCTAAAGTAGAAGACGCAGAAGGTGAACTTAGCGATTCTGATTCTGAGTCACTTCCTTTGAGTCCAGACGGCAAATTTCTCATTTTAACGAACGCAGAAGATACTGGAGAGACCCCTACAGCGTTTAGTTATACAGATCCTGTCCGTGAGAACCTAGGCGATGGTGACGAACGCAAGATAGAGGGCGCTGAATGCGAGTCCGAAGCATAGCAATTAGCATAATGCATTGTTTTATTTATTTGTTGGTTATGTTTTAGAGTGATATGCAAAATGATTCAAAGAAATATTTTTTAATTTGAGTACTTCAACACTTTTAGTTGTATGTTATCTGTCTGGTATGTTATCTGTCTGGTATGTTATCTGTCTGGTATGTTATTTGTCTGGTATGTTATCTGTCTGGTCTGTTAACTGTCTGATCTGTTATCTGTCTGATCTGTTATCTGTCTGGTCTGTTATCTGTCTAGATTATCTGTCTGGTATGTTATCTGTCTGGTATGTTATCTGTCTGGTATGTTATCTGCCTGGTCTGTTATCTGTCTGGTCTGTTATCTGTCCGCTCTGTTATCTGTCTGGTCTGTTATCTGTCTGATCTGTTATCTGTCTGGTCTGTTATCTGTCAGGTATGCTCACTTTATGTCATAAATAACTAATGATCCCATTTCTGGGATTTTTGGTCAAAATTGACTATGACAAATGTGACCCAGCAAAGCAGTATGATTCAGACAGGGGTGCTGTGACTTATTTTGACTTCAGAGGTGCAATATTTTGTTCTATAGAGTTCGAAAACAAAATGAAACCAATAGAATTAAAAGTACAGAAGTAAAAATCTATATGCTTGTTTGAAACAAGTATCCAAACTATTACATGACTTAATAGCTAACGTGTTTTGAAATATTTTATTTGAATTATTTTGTATATCAAGAACAAATGTGATATATATATTCCCCAAATATTTATTTTCTTGCTTATTGCTGTATTGCTGTTCACTCTTTAAGAGTTTCTTTTAAAAAAAATCTTTTTTGGGTATCTTGGAACACAGATAGCTTTAATTTGTTCTATTCCAATTTTTAATCAGACATCTGTGGGTCTTGTAATTTCTCTAAACCTAAACTTTTTATGACATTCTTGCAAGAGGAGGGTTCTAAATGGAGCTTCTAAAGTGAATTTTTTTATTTTTTTGGATGTTTCATAATAATAATGAATTTCACAAATTTCACTAACAGATTACTTGTGTTTCAAATGACCTGTGTTGAACAGGATGGAAAATAAAAAGCTTGCATTAAGAATAATATCATGAAATATTGAATTACAATCATATAGATATCTTTAATTCTTGCCAGTATCTATTGCTCAACTGATCTTAGATTTTCTCTAGAATAATTTATACACTGTACTTGATTTAATAGTTATTTTATAGGAAATTATGCTTATTATTGTATCTTTTTATTTCTTGAAACTTTCTGATGATTGGTGTTCAATTCACAGACACATAATTGCTATTCTAACCTAATAATTTCAACATCCTCTTCAACTAATTGGTATAGTAAATTACTAAAATTGACTTTTTTTTTTTCATAAGATCCCTGCTTTTATGGTTTTGTTCTTCGATATTTTTTTCAATAGATCATGATCATTACATACAAAATACAAAATCAGAGACAAAATCAGAAAGAAGCCTTAGCTTTTGTTTATCTAGACCCCAATGAGTGCCATTGCATCATGTTGTATTCAATCTTCACAATGTCAAAGTGCTATGTGGGCACTATTTTTGTATCGCGGTCTGTAGCAATTTGATTGGATTGTATGCAGTAAGCTAGAGAATGCAGCCAATCTGAGCTCTCAATTTGTCCTGTCATAGCCCTGAACGATATCATTTCTTATTAATGAGGGTTCTGATTGGCTGTATTTGCAAGTGTGATACAAGAAAAGTACGCTTATGAGTTATGTAAGATCATGACATTGTGAAGATGATTATTTTCTAGTCTTCCCAAGTTGTCTATATATTATTTTATTATAATTTGCGTAAACTGTCTCAAAACTTTTGGTGGGTCCTTTTTTTTTCTGCATTCCTTGTATTTATATATCAAAGGTCATCATATTATATTTGTTGCCGCCATGATAAGCAATAGTTTTCTTAGCTTGTAACTTGTATGTTTGTATGAGAAATATAACCAGAATATTTTAGTACCCATTACTCAAAATGAATTGTGGATTTTTTCAATTAATGGTGCTTGAAATAACAGTAGAGATAAAGAATATTTGGTACTACAGCTAGGTGATAAGCATTAATATATCACGATATGGGTATATATTGCAATATTACTTAAGTATGGTTTTTTATTGGTTATTGATGCAAAATGTTGTTGTTTTTCTATCTAGCTATTAAATGTAAGCAAAAATAATAAATATCTCTTAAAAACACCCCAGTCTTGAATATATTAAAAAAAATATGTTTCAAATATTAAGTTACTTGTTGAAATTGTGGAAATGATCTAGAGAAAAATTTAATGATATATCATGATAACTACCATATATCACGATATGGGGATATTTTGGTATTTTTTAAAACAACAGACTAAGGATGTAAATTCCTATACCAGTGCAGTATTTATCATAATACCAGTATATCGCCAGGTCGTATTTGTTACCCATTTCTGAAAAGAAATTGTCTTAAGTGTGGGAATTTACATTATGTAGCAAGAACAACACTGGCTTTTGAGTTTTTGATATGGTTTTCTAACACCTTTTTATAGAATTATACAATCCAAAAGTTTCACACTTTTGATGAATTTTAAGGGTGAAATGTTTCAGAAATGAACTCTGCTTTGGTTATGGTGCTGTAAGTTAGGCATTGTCTACTGGGCATGATTATAGAGATGTTTTATAGTAGATATATTTGTTAGATTTTTAGGTCTCATTTAAGAAGTTGTAGACCAATGCTACTGGTGCTGAAATTGTTGCATTTTGTTTTAAATTAGATCAGAATTTTTATGCCAATTTAATTTTTGTTCTTAAAGAGAATGTAAAGAGGTTTACTAAAATATTTCATGTGTATCGGGACACTGATAGCATCAATTTGTACTGTTTAAATTTTCAATCAGATGTCTGTGATTCCTGCAATTCCACAATGTTAGTGTTTTATGACATCACTAATGTCACTAATCGCAGAATATGCTTAATCACATAAAACACTGATAGCATCAATTTACACCATTCCAATTTTGGATGATGTCTGTGGTTTCTGTAATTCTACTAATACTAATTGTCTGAAGACACCACTAATCGCAAAATATGCTTGTATGACATAAGGCCCTTCACAATTAGTTACATCATCAAACACTTATATTTAGTGGAATTGCAGGCACCACAGACTGAAAATTGGAATGGTTCAAATTGATGCTATTAGTGTCCCCGATACACAATTTTTTTTTAGAAAACCTTTTGACAATCCCTTTAAATTAGTTTAGAATTGATTAGAAGAATTATGGTTTTTAAGTGATATATTAATATATATTGGAAATAGTAAAGGGATATCATCATAATTGTTTTACCATCTGATAGCAGAATTCAACTTCAACTGTCTGTATCACTTTTCAGAATTTAGATATGACTTTTTGTTTGACGAACAGAGGAAGTGACATCTTCATTAAAAACAGAGCATCTTATCAATGAATAGATGGGACCCTGATTAACTTTATCGAAATGGCTTTGTATGAGTTGATATAAATCATCCAGTACTCATATGATATTCATGAATTTTGTTTTTGTAACATTTTTCTAAGTAGAAGCATACTGATTGGCTGGTTTGATCACATGACATCATGAATATTTATTACTTGGGTCCCCAATACAAAGTTTATCTGCAACAGTGAAACAGGGTAGTAATATGTAAGTGTTTCAGAATTATGAAAGTTGTGAGATAGTGTTGAATTTAATGAAGTCATTAACGGAAGGGTTATATGGGATGATAACAGTAATATGTAGATGGTAATATCTCTGTTATATATTGTAAAGTTGATCATAGTATAATCTTGTTATTGTATATAAAACTTTATAATAGATTATTTACATTATAAAGGTGCTTAATGATATTTTACATGAGGGGATGTCACTTATATAAAGAGTATGATTTTTTGTAGGTAGAATACATAGATGTAATTTAGATACATAGAAATCAGACCTATGTTGTGTTCATTAAAGAGATTGTAAAGTGGTTTTTCGCATTTTTTGATATGTATCAGGGACACTGATGGTATTAATTAGCACTGTTAGCAAAGATTGAAAGATAGGAAAATTTAAATATTTATATATGCTTCAATTGATTTGACAAGAAAAAATATTGATGGTAAATTGATTTGTTCTGAATTAAAAAGTGATTACTTTCTCTGATCATGCTCTTTATTTCCCTTTATATTGAATTGGCAAGGCTTTAGACCCATGTGTTTTATGCTCTTCTGCGCCCTTTATAGGGATTGTAAGTAGATTTTCTAAACTTTGTATATGTATTGGGGACACTGATAGCATCAATTTGCACCATTTCAATTTCCTGTGAGACATCTGTGATTCCTGCAATTCTTAAAAACTAAGGGCCATATGCAGCGCTCGTACTTTACTCAAACTTTGACTAAAGTTAGACTTGAATTTTAGGTATGCACCGGTCGATCTTTACGAAAGTCGTGCTTGAATTTGACTATCAAATGTAGAAAATTAAAGCCTTAATCCTAACTTTGTAAAGTTCGACTTTAGCCAAAGTTCAACTTTAGTCAAGGTAAGAGCGCTGCAATACGGCCCCAAGAGTTTTATGACGTTATTATCACAAAAGCTGCTATTGATATATATAAGGATCTTTGCGATAGTGATACCATTAAACGCATAGTTTAAGTGCAAGAACTACAACTACAGACTCAAAAAATTTAGAAAATCTCTTTACAATTCCTTTTAAGGACAGGGGTCATTGTCCAGTCTGTAATCAAATAATTGTATTTGTAGTGTAGCCTACTGCAGACATTTTGACAATGAATTATTAGATGTAAATGCAATGAATTGAAAGTAATATTAAAATTTATGTTAGATTTATTTTACCCTAGATGTGAATATGTAAAGTATCAAACTGTTTTGTTTTTAATATAAAAAGTCTTTACCTAGAAACTTGTTGACATTGTTCAGTACAAATCTATATTTTATAGAAGTATTTGATTTGGTTGAAAGCTTTTGCGAGTTGACATCAAGATCATGCTTAGAATTGTTATAATCTTGGCAGTGATTCAAAACTAGGCACTTTATCTCCTTGTCGATTAAACCAGTCTCGATTAGCTCCTTTCCGATGACAATCTAACTTTTACAAACTACTCACGCGTTTGATGAGAGCAGGTTTGTTGTCATCTTCACAATGTCAAGCTATTACCAACTGTCTAATATGTGACTTCAATATCCACCTATCTTATATCACGAAAGTTTGTACATGCAGCGATTTGATTGGATTGTACGATAGCGAATACAGCCAATTAGAGCTCTCAATGCCAAATTGTTTGGTTTGTCGAGGGCTCTGATTGGCTGTATTCCATAGTGTATAATCCAATCAAATAGCTGCATGTACAAAATTCATTGATAAAAGAAAGGTGGCTATTACAGTCAAGGTATTAGACTTAGTTCGTAATAGCTTGACATTGTGAAGATGGCACTGACTATTATTTATTTATTTACAAACCCTCATTTATTTCGTAATATTTTTATCAGATCTTGAACCGGGAGCCGCGGTGGCTCAGTGAGTTAGACGCTTGCTAAGACGCTAACCCGAAGGTCCTGTCTACAATCCCGGCGTAGGTCGAGAAGATACTTTCGGATTTTTCAACCCGGTCTCATTCAATAAGTGATGCAGATTGGAGGGGCTGATATGGAAAAAGCGTCTAATTGATGGAATAGGACGATAAACGATGTACCGTGTGGTGCAGGCTGTGCACGTTAAAGGTATCTCGACAGTTAGAAATAAAATAAAAAAGCAGGTTGTCGTGGCAAAATTTACCTCATTGCACTCTGTATGGCATATTAGCCAACTTGGTGCATAAAAGTAGGACGTAAAACTTTCATTTCATTGAACCATAGAAAAATATATAGGTTGTTTTCAGATTGAGGGTCAATGAAGTCAGAAAAAAACGTCTACAAAATTGAACTTCTTGTCTCGTTATTTCATTCCAACGTAGATCACTGCTCATTAGACTGATATTTAATGACTAGTTGATAAAATATCAAAGTCTTATTGCCTATATTATGATAATAATCATAGTTCCCAGGACTGAGTGCTTCTATAATTGCCTACATTACATTAAAATTTGCATTTATTTTGCTCTAATAGTTAAATTTATGTGTAATCTCTTCAATGTCATAACGAACGCTTCGTCCTTTGGTCAAGTTTCTGAAACGTAAAAGATTTTTCATCCTCAAGGCAAAAGTTATGTCAATCTGATATTGAAAAATCTGACTATGGAAAATTACTGCAACGAAAGAATTCTTCAGTATATCTACCGATATGCTGTTTAGTATTTGTAGTTGATACATGTTTAAATGTTAGTTAAATAGGAATCATACAATTAAAAAGGTATTGTCACTTTTAAGATAGTGTTCAATACATTAATTGTAGAGTGATATAGAAATACCACTGTTAAAATAGTGTTCAATACATTAATTGTAGAGTGATATAGAAATACCACTGTTAAAATAGTGTTCAATACATTAATTGTAGAGTGATATAGAAATACCACTGTTAAAATAGTGTTCAATACATTAATTGTAGAGTGATATAGAAATACCACTGTTAAAATAGTGTTCAATACATTAATTGTAGAGTGATATAGAAATACCACTGTTAAAAAAGTGTTCAATACATTAATTGTAGAGTGATATAGAAATACCACTGTTAAAATAGTGTTCAATATATTAATTGTAGAGCGATATAGAAATACAACTGTTAAAATAGTGTTCAATACATCAAGTGTAGAGCGATATAGAAATACCACTGTTAAATAGGGCTTAACACATCAATTGTAGAGCGATATAGAAATACCACTGTTAAAATAATGCTCAATACATCAATTGTAGAGTGATATAGAAATACCACTGTTAAAATAGTGCTCAATACATCAATTGTAGAGCGATATAGAAATACCACTGTTAAATAGGGCTTAACGCATCAATTGTAGAGAGATATAGAAATACCACTGTTAAAATAGTGCTCAATACATCAATTGTAGAGTGATATAGAAATACCACTGTTAAAATAGTGTTCAATACATCAATTGTAGAGCCATACATAATTATCACTGTTAAAATAGTGCTTAATACAACAATTGTAGAGCGATATAGAAATAACACTGTTAAAATAGTGCTCAATACATCAATTGTAGAGCGATACAGATATACCACTGTTAAAATAGTGCTCAATACATCAATTGTAGAGTGATATAGAAATACCACTGTTAAAATAGTGCTCAATACATTAATTGTAGAGCGATAAAGAAATACCACTGGTAAAATAGTGCTCAATATATCAATTGTGGAGTGATATAGAAATACCACTGGTGAAATAGTGCTCGATTCTTCTAATGTAGAACGATATAGAAATACCACTGTTAAAATAGTGCTCAATACATCAATATCATTGTAGAGCGATATAGAAATATTTAATACCACATGTGTTACATTAACTATAGTTTCACCCATCCAGTATTATTTTTCATCAATTGCAAACAAACCAGACGCCGAATATGCATTCTTACAAGTGGCTAGAGCAGCTGAGAAAGCATATTAGAATTAGAAGGCAATATGCCTAAATCTAAATTAGTATGAGCACTGCTAAAGATTATCTGTATTCCCCTGTAACCCCATGGCTTATTGCACTATTAGTGGCTTAAAATATTTACTAGGGGCAAACAGATGCATGTAAACTTGTACGATGACCACTAACAAGGTCGATAAAATGACTGATATCGAGAAATGCCGCTGGTATCAAAAGCAGGAATCGTCATCAATATGACTAATTAGGGAAAGGAAGATAAACGTTATGGCTATTTACTATCCATTTCGGTAAATGACATTTTCCATATAATTTTAACCTTGATCTGTCCAATTATCTGGAATTAGTTCTTAGTTAAAGTCAAGGAGGAAAATCATTTCCGCACATTTTTTTAGTTCTTAACGACTGACAAGTTGTAAACATCTAGAAAATTATCTGTTGCTGTATGATTTATAGATTTTTTCCAAAATTTTAAATATCTGTTTTGATCTTCAATATTTAAAGTTGACAGAACGCCTACAGATGTTATTGAGCTTGTCAAAACATAATTTTATTCAAAATTTTGAAATTTGATTTTGAGTTTTTTGGAAAGGTTCTGTTTAATGAAGGTTTAATAGAGACAGACTGGAAATGTTTATAATTCTCTTCATTCTACAAGGTAAGATATTTTTTTTTTACATTTTTGCCGGACAAACATGCATTAATGGTGTTCACGAGGGCAGGTTCCAGATCAGGCTGTAAGGGATCGTAGCTCTGTTAGTTAAAATGCTTGCCATCTGATGACGTCGTTTAACTTCTTGCGTCGGAAATGACGTCCATTGGTCTTCAGACGAATATTTGTCAAGGTATTACGAACTTTGACGGAGTTTGTAATAGCATTACAATACCAAGATGCGTTATTCCTGTCTACTCAACTTAAATGGTACGAAAATCATTTAAAGTGATACATCAGTGAACTTACCTGATGTCATAATGTTACAACTGAATCCCTGTAAAATCTGAAAAATTGGAAATTTTTGAAACTAAATAATTATTAAAAAACGCTTACTCTTGATATTAAGCGTTTTTTTTCAATAGTTGCATATTTATGGATAATTATTAAGTTTTTTGGATTTATCGGATTGTTATGACACCAGGTATATCTACTATGCTCTTATTGGCCAAGTTTAAAATTATCAAATTTTATGTTCATTCTAAGACGTAGTATTCCTTTAAGGGGTTTGGAAAGGGCCTAGTCGGGTGGGTTTTAAATCCCATCCGCCCAAACGCATATAAAAATTTGCGCTAAAATAAGTATTGTTTATTTTAAGGATCGCAGATCTCATACTACGAAACGAAATTTTCTCAATTTGAAAATCACCCAGTGTAGTCAGCTTGTTGTCGATCATTTGAAGGGATTGTAGAGGTTTTTCTAATCATTGTATGTGTATTGGGGACGCTGATAGCATCATTTTGAACCATTCAAATTTTTAATCAGACGTCTATGGTCACTGCAATTCCACAAAAATAAGTGTTTGATGACGTCACTAATCGCAATATAACTAATCGCAATATATGCGATATCACATAAAGCCCTTCGCGATAAGTGACGACATCAAACACTTATTTTTAGGGGAATTGCAGAATCCAAGGACGTCTGATTGGAAACTGGAATGATGTAAATTGATGCTATCAGTGTACCTGATACACATAAAAAATGTAACAACTCTTAACAGTCAATTTAACTGTAGTAATATACGCCACAATCTTTATACCTTGAAGCGTAGAAATTATACGATGTCATTACAACATGAAACAAGTCAAACTACATTTGATATAATTTCAGTGCTATCTAACACAGAAGGTAATAAGTGTCCAGATGAGATAGAGAATGTAGTACAGACATGTATAGAAGAGTCAGGAATGTATAATCTAAAACATACAATCGGTTCAGTTTTCATTGATGGCAGATTAGATACACAGTTCTGCAGGTAATATCGCTTTTCATCAGGGGCGGATGGAGCAGTTCTGAGACCTCGGACCAATGAGTTTCCAATGGTCCTTACCATGCCTACACAATATTCCCATCGGCAATTCCACTAAAACTAAGTAATTGATGATGTCACTAATCGTAAAGGGCCTTATGTGATATATTTGGTGATGTCATCAAACTCTTAGTTTTGGACATGCAGAAGCCACAGACGTCTAATCGAAAATTGGAATGGTGTATATTGATGCTATCAGTGTCCCCAATACACTTTAGAAAACCTCTTTACAATCCCTTTAAAGCTTATATATTTCAATAAAAAAAAAAACATTTCAGTCTATTTGAAATTTTAAAGTGCGGGAGAACCGAGTCATAAAATCTTTACTGGCCTAGCTACTTATTCTTTTCAACTATATTCCTAATTTTCTGATATTTTGCTTGGTTAAGTCTAAGACAAAGCGTATACATGTAATACACTCGCATTGTAATTATAGAAGTGGTATGGATATTGCTGTGACTTGTATTGAGAACATACTCAACTTCTGTCAAGATGATCTGGAACAGAAGAGGATGCTGAACCTCCTGGTGGACATTGACAAGCTCAGAACCAGTTTCTATTATTTCTGTCAAAATATCCACGGTATGATTTAGTTCATGAACTCCTTTTCAACATGACTGCCTTTTAGATCATAATGCAATATTGAAACTGAAATCCCGACCATGATTGTTCCACAACATTTTCCAGGGGGCCACGGGCTATTTTTCCAAATGTAAATTGATAAAGATTTTGAAAGTGGAGCGGTGGGGGCGGGCCAGCCTCTTTTCTTTGTGGGCAATCGCCCCTCCACTGTCCACCCTGTCTGTAAAGGGATACAATGGTACAATGGTATTTCAATTTCAACATCAAGTGCTCTGAGCCCTAGGGAATTACGACCCAATTCATGATTGGACCAGTTAGCGAGGCGCCATGTTCCATTCAATGCGGTTGCTTAAAGAATGTACACTATAGTTACCAGTGTTACGCATCTTTTCAATCTGATGTCACTCTTGATTTAGTTTTTCGACCCTTTTGGAGAATCTACATAGTCATTGTTTCTTTGGTAAATTTATTTCAGTGTTCGCTACGAATCAGTCGTGTTTAATTGGGTTGTATCAGGTACCAGTATGTATCGACAGAGTCACACATGAACAAAATCTTCAAACCAATTCTACTCAACCACCTGATGTGACAGTAATGGGGTTAATGAACAGTCTATGTGGGTAGGTGATCATTTTGGTTCTGATCTTTGTTTGGTCTGAATTTTGATATAAGAGTCATGCATGTCCAGAACTAAGAGATTTGTTTTAACGAATAATTCCACACAACACTGCAGAGTTTCATCTCATTCGGTCCGATCAGATTTGAAGATTTCTCATGTACCAAACCAACAAGTACCAAACCATCCGATCCTGGACCTTCTACTAACTACCACAACTATCAGAATTACCAACAACTTTCAATAAACTGGAACTGGACGTTAACAAGCAAGCAGAAACTAGTCGGATCACAGCTAGTTTTGTTAGACTGTGGAAGATCAAGTAGCTCACGCTTCACAAGGCTGAGTTTTATCTCTGGATTCTATCGAACCAACAGTACTGACCGTCTAATTGGTCACGGTCCTTCTACCAACTACCACATCTATCAGAACTACCAACAACTTCCAGTGGGCGTTAACAAGCAACCAGAAACACAACAGTTTGGTCAGATCGCCTAACTCACTACCCCACTGACAGGGGTAGAGATTCACCGCCATGTCAGTCGACCCGACCGGATTGGAAGATTTCTCATGTACTTAACCAACAGTAGGCCTACCAAAACATCTAATTGATCCTGGTCCTTCTACAAACTACCACAGCTACCAACAACTCCCAGCTTCAGTCTACTATATCAATAAGCTGGAAGTAAAATTAAACAAGCAACAAGAACCTTGTCAGATCATAACTAGTTTTGTCAGACTTAAGAAGATCGAGTTGCTCGCGTCTCACTGCCAAGGGCCGAGTTCTGAGGATTTCTCATCTACAAAACCACATTATTGATCCAAATCCTAATAACAACTACCACGACTACCAACAACTAGTCTGCAATACCAGTGGTAGCGAATGGTAACTTGGCATCTATCAACCCCTGCAGCCTGCATTTGACAATCATCTGTAGGCTACCACTGTCATATACAAAGCTATATATTATAGATATAAATCTGTACAAGCAATACAATTCCGTTTTTCAAAATCTCAAAAGTATGGCAAAATCGAGAGTGAAAATTGTATAGTAGTAAACAGCCATATTTTGCGTTCCACTGTCATATATCCTATGAAGGCACATTTCCTTCAAATAGATAATAAGCCTAATGTTTTTATGAAAAGCCAACTTCAGACTTAACTTAATAGATTTTTGTAAATAAAGGATAAACATCCATTTTCTGTAATGAGGTCAACTTGTCACTCAAAATCTCAAACTACCATCATTAGCAATGTTATCGAAACAGTGAGCAGACGAACATCATTAGCGACATTCACTTATGTACTTCCTTTCTTGTCATCGGTTGTCGTTTTCTGTCGACTCTCGTTGTATTTCGTCTGCTACATTTGCTGACACAGCAAATATTGTAATGTGACTCACTTGTGAAGGTTAAAATGGCTGTTATATGTGACTGCTATTTTAAAGGGGCAGAATCGCCATTTCGGGGATTGAGTTTGGGTCTTATAATATTAGAAATGTACAAAAATCGCACAATTTCTTCAAAAATACCTCAAACTAAGAATTCTATTTCTATATGAAGTATGTATTTTATATATGGCAGAGAATCAAGAAATGGCGAGTCGTCATTTTAACTTTCAAAAGTGGATAATTCTAGACACAATGGATTTGAAAGCTAAAATTTCGGCAGTGAGCTTTGAACATTTAATTACTAATCAGCTAAGCTAAAAATAAATTCCCGTTTCTGAGACTGGGTACGATTGGTCAAATGAATGGCGGTTTCTAATGACATCAAAATGGCCGTCTTTGGTCTAAATGGAACTGATTAGAGTTTAACTCGTGTGTATAATACAATCATCATCTGTACCAATAATTTTCGAAATTTGACCATAAAGTCTTAGAATCCCAATATGATAAAAACATTAAAGAAGTATATTGCACAGTTGCTCAACGCTTTGGTGGTCATTCGGCACATTCGCCAATGTTCGTTAGTTTCCGTTAGAGTAGACCTCTCTAGCAGTTACTCTAGTCCCGAAGTTAGGACGATTGCGATTTGTGGTCAGCAGTTTTGACTATCCCTTTAATTCCATTTATAAATCGATTAAATCTATTTTTAATATTGTATCTTTTAGATTGTCAGACATCATTACCACTTGCTACACCAGTTCCTTTGCAGACGATTGCTACATGACGTCACATCTTTTTCTGCGACTCTTCGATGGCGCTCGATTCCCTTACTGTGATCTTCCAGAAAGAGAAAAACGGTTCCAGCTTTTAACCATAATGAATTATTCGTCCAGTTCTTGTATTTACATAGTTTCCCCTAGTTTTATTGTATTTTGTCTGGTTTGTATATTCTATATAATAAAAGTAGTAATATGATAACGTTCTATTTTGTATTCATGACCATTGATTCAGAATATTAATATTATGACTGATTCGTTTCCAACTTCACAATATATCAAATCTTCTTTGGAGGTTGTAGAGAGGTTTTCTAGCTTTTTTATGTGTGTGTCAGGGCCATTTTTTGACTTCGGTGTGCATCATTCCAGTCTCCATCAAATGTACGTGGTTTCATTAATTATAGAAATGCTCAACCACATATCAATTCACTATCGCAAAAGCAAAAGCTGCTAATAATATATCCAGGGCCGTAACTATATCAAAGCAAATACCTCGTATCGAATTTGACAACATAACAAGGAATATATTAAAAAAGCAATCAAAAATATAAATATGATAATTGATAGATATATCGTTTATTTGATGTCTACATTAACGGTGGAAACTGTGTGAAGTCTACCGAGATCTTACGAAAGACAACAGGATTTTTGCCTCAATAGAAAAAAGACCCTAAAATGTCATTAAAGATTGTATTCCTTAAAAATTGTAATGCTGCAAGTGTCACTGACTCACATAAAAAGTTAAAGGTGCGAGCACACGAGCGGTAATGGTCTTCTCGTGTGCCCGCAGCCGTCGGTGAAACTCAAGACAAGAATCTAGTCGGTGACAAAAATCTCCGACCAAGACCGCTCGTATGCCCGCACCTTAAGAATTCACCATCCCTTTAACTGTCGTAGTCATCGATCTGATGAAAGTAATGGAGCCATATGGAACCATGTGACTTATTTTTTCAGGCTTCGTACAAAGATATTACAAACTTCGTCTTATATAAACTTACCTTGGAAGTTAGGATAAGCTAAAAGATAGATCTACATAATTAATTATACCTCAATATAGCTAATTAAACAGATGTCGTGCAGTTGTGTAGGCTATATAATTAATGAAACTAAAACCCATTTCTTTATGCACATCCAAACATGCGCCACAGCCCGCCGAAACAGACTCTAATGTTCCCAGACCCCTCCCAGTCTCCCAGTGACGTAGGCCTACCTATAAAGCATTTATATGAAGTAGGGGGTTTCCCCCGGGCAGTGGGTAAGAGGGCCTGACATGGAAAAAGTGTCTAGTTAGGATAGATGGGACAATAAACCGAGGCACCGTGTGCCACAGACTGTGCACATTAATGATCCCTCGACAGTTGGAAATCGGAAAAGGGCAGACTAATGCCGCTGGCCTGGCAAAATTTCCCTCATTGCACCCTGCATGGCGTTACCCGTCTTCATTAGCCTATATACATGGTGCAGAAAAGTAGGTATCTATCTTCTCTATAGCCCATTAATATCTAAGTCAGACAATTCTAAGTAATTAAAGCTATGTAATTAAAATCGTGTCTGAAGATTTACTAATTATCTTAGATTAGAAATC